CACAGCTCAGGGAATTCTGAAAAATGATTCAAAATCGACAATTTCTGATACAACTGAGCCTATTTTTTTCATCATTTTGTCAATTCATGTGATGGAAATTACTTGGAGTTTTCCATTAAAAAAAAGAAAAATTCAAACGTCGTGATTCAATTTAGACAGGAAAAAATTTCTTCTTTCCTCCATGTGATTTATTTTCGATTGATTCAAACTGTTGAATGAACTTTTGAGTTTTTTTTTCGTTAACCTAAGAAAAACCTGTGACTGCCACAGTATTCTGAACCCGAAAACTTCCCACAAAATCCCCAAAAAATTTACTAACTAAAAACGATCCAAAGTCAAAAATCAAGTTTTTTTTCCTACTGAGCCTCTTCCAAAGTTTTCTCTCTATCTGTTTGAAAAAAATTTCTGCAAAGAAGTTTTCAAAAATGATCAACAACAGTTGCACCACGTGATAATCCGAATAAACTCCAGAAATATAGTCGAACTGAGATTTTTCTCTCGATTCCCCGTTCCTGTTGACAATTTTTCGGCATTCAAATCGGCTTTCTCGAGGCAGAGAACAAACAGAAATGATCACGGTGGCATTGTTTTGAAACATTTTCGAGCCGAAATTTTTCAAATTCAGGTATTTCAAAATTGAAAGAAAAAGGGGAGAGACTCCTCCTGAGGCGTCATGGAAGCTGGAAGTTTTTGAAAAAGCCTTGGAAAGGTGTTCAGAAGGTTGCTGGGGGGTCTTTGGAAGGTAAAAAGTGGTACATGTCCTCCTTCCGGAAAGAAATTAGAAGATTTTGGGAAGCTGTCCGGATGTCGTCTAACCACTTAATATAAAGCTTCCCCACGTCTTCTGAAGAGCCGAAAGCAGGAGCTTCAATATCTTTCTTCTAATAATGTTGGTTTTAATTTGAAATTACGAGAGTCATCATTAGGAGATCACCATTTCAATATTTTTCCAGCTGATAGGAGCTCTGAAATGAAAAAAGAAACTAGAAAAAAAAATTTAGATAAAATGCTTTTCACAAAAAAAATGTGCAAGTTTCAATTTTAGAAAGTTAAAGCTACGAACAATCAAATATTGTAATTTTTCTTCATTTGCGAGATTTTTATCGAGCTTTGAACTTTTTGCTCCATTTGATCATATAGTTTAGAAAGCTTTGAAAGGTTTATAAGTTTTAAATAAAGTTCCACATTTTTAGAACTTATCAAGCTCAAAACTGAACTGATGGCATTTCCAACTTGGCGCTGTTTAACTGCGAAAGAATTGTGGTCACTTTAGGGTTTCAGAATTTTCCGGGCTACTCTAATTAGTGACCACATGGATGATTGAAAACTTGTATCCCTTCAAAAATCAAAGGGGTAAATTACCAGTGGTACTATTAGACCATCAAAACTTGATGCGGCTTTAATTTCATATGCAAGTAGTCCTAGAGTAAATTCTCAAGTAGTCATTGAAGTTCTCACACAAAAAGAAAATTAAGCAGAAGTTAAAAAGAGAAGCTTTGGAAGAAAAACTCAAGGTTTTTTTCCATAAAAAAAGATGTTTTTTTGCTTTTTTTACGTTATTTTTTTATTTTTCACCGCTTTATTTTTTTCAGTATTTCAGAAGTTTCCCAAAAAAAGCCCTCAATTTTTCAAAAGTCTTCAGAAAGGACTCTTTGAACTGTACGAGGCGATAATTCGGCAACTCATGCCGTGATTCAGTGTGTGTTCTGATAGCGACGGCACTTGTTTGCCCTACAAGGCGCGTCGAGACGCCTCCTCATTCTTTCTTCTTCTTTTCATTGACACCTCTTCGGAGCTCATCTTTTGCTCTTTTCAGTATTATCATCACCTTTTTATGAACTTAGCTAAAGTTTAAAAGTCACAGTAGCTATTGAATTTTTATTTAAAAATACACTCTTCTCTCGCTAAACTTTTTTCTGTCAAAAATCGATTCTTAAAATTCTTATTTCACTTATTCATATCAATCCAATTACTTTTTCCAATTTATAAAAATTCTCTACTAATCGTGTCAAGTTTTTTTGTGAAGTAGAGTCCTTCTATATTTGATCAGAGTCGAAATATTATAAAAACAGTAAAAAAACTATTTTTTCAAAACCATTTTTCAATTAAAAATTGAACGAGATTTTATGCCAATCATTAAAAAAAATATTTTCTTGATATCATAAATTTTTTTGCAGCTGTCGAGATGGCTTCAGACAGCGACACGATCATCGTCATTCTTTTGTGTATATTCATCCCGGTGAGCCATGTGATTCCCTCTCTTGAAACGTTCTGCTCGCATTTGGAATGGCTCAAAGCGTCGCGGTCTGCAGCTAGTTGACCTCTTGCCGCGCTTTTCAAAGTCTTTACGCCAAAATCGTTCTGATCAATTATGCCTTTTTTTCCATAGCCGTCAAGCTTCAAACCATTCCAAATGCGACCATGAATCGTAACATCGAAGATTTTTCTTTCAAATATGTTTGAAATAATAATGAAAAAAAAGCAGAAATGCTTTTTGTTTCTGAGATGTCATACTTAAAATAATTGGTCAGAGTGGTCACTAGAGTGGTTCGGCAAAGAAGGCTCTTAATGAACGAAATATTGCCCCCTAGAGAGCTAAGCTTCGAGTTTCCCCTCTAGGGGTTGAGGCATGACCTCTAAGAACCTTTAGCGCTCTTTAAATTAAATTTCTTTTTTTATACTTTTTATTATTTTTTTCTCTAAGTACCACTATCTTGCTCCCCGGACACTTCCCTCAGAAGGAAGTAAGTAAGGTAGTCCCTAGAGGGAACCTACAATAGCCGCAAAATGTGTCCTTTTTAGAGACCACTCAGGCGTTTCTAATTTAATATTAATAAGAAAAAAATATTTCAACTGTTTTTTTCAGCCGCTGGGAATCTGGTGGTACTCGGGCCAAGATTGCGTGACCGAAGTGTGGATCGACCTTTTGCTCTGTCTGCTCTTTTGGCTGCCTGGAATCCTCTTCGCTTTCTGGTTCTGCTTCATGAAGAACAAATGAAAGAATATATCAAGTCCAGATAGGATCTTGCAATTATGTTTCAAGCGTCATTTGAGAAAAAAACTTTTTCATTTTTTGTTTTTTTCCGTATGTTTTTTTCATTTGTTTGGTCAAGCAATAGAAAAATTGAATTTACAAGTATAATAAAATTTCTCGGAACCTAAAACTGCATCTTTTTTCAGGTTTTTACTTGTTGATGGAAGCTTAAAGTTTATTTTAAAGGAAAAAATTGACCTGGAGTCTCTAAAAAGTTTACAAACTGTAGCTGCTTGCAAAAATCAAGTCAGTTTTTATCTTCAACATGACCTTTTCGTTTATTTGCGAAGCCATTTTAATTGAAAAGGTCTCCATTTCTTATCAAAGGTCGTCAAACAACGGAAGAAAGTGTTGTCCTGACGTGGATCTTCGATTAAAAGCTTCGTTTGGACGATAAGACTTTTCAACGCTTTAAAACCAAAATCAAGCTTTATATCTTTTAAAAAACAACTCAAAAAATATGCAATTTTTTATTAGTTGATTTGAAGTTGTTGGTATCCCAAACACCAAATTATCCTGACTTCATAAATAATATTGACTTGACTTACAACATCGAGTCTCACTTGAAATGGCTTGAAATCCAGTTCATCGAGGGGGAATTTCTCATATTTCTCTGTGGTCTTTATAAAAAAAGAAACAGAGATCTTTGATCCAAGTTTTATCCCACTCGTATTACATCTTCCAACGGATGGACACAAATCAATCGATGATTCGAAATTAAAATTTTCTTTGCCCCGGATCCTATTTGTTTCCTTTCATTCACGCAGGATGAAATGAGGTCAATCAAAATTCTCTGTAGAATCGAGAAAAATAAATCGAGAAATGCCGACTTCAAATGGAAAGCTCAATCGTGTTTCATCTTCTTCCGAAAATAAAAACTTGGATGGAATTTGAAGTTATTTGCATTGATATAACAAGTCAATCATTCGCGAATTGAAAAGCCAAATGGGCATTTAGGCAAGGCTGACGCGTTGCGTACGCGACGCGGCTTTTGGCGGGAAACTCGAGATCAAACATGAGTCACCATTTCAACTTCACCTTTTTGGACAGCTTCAATAGCTTACAATCACTATACAAAATAATAGATACTTTTTTTGAAAATTATTTCTTGATTGCGTTTTTAATGGAGGTTGAAATGAAATATTAGTTATAAAAAAATAATTATTTGTTTTTTTCTAGTTCTAGATTTGATTTTTTTCAGAATAATAATTTTGTAGAAATTTTCTCTCGGCGATCCTTGGATAAATATCAGCGAAAAAATCAATTTTATTTCATGATGAACATTCAATCTCGCTTTTTGCGCGTCGCTTTTCATGCATCGCGTGCACTGCGTACAAAACATTTTATTTTCCGCAATTTTGGCGGGTGTGGCGTTGATTTGATGTCGCCGTGCCTTTCTAGTCGTAAAATTTTCATTAAGTTTCTTCTTGAGAAAAAATCCATCCTGTTTCAAAACCAACGGCGAATCGTTTATCGGTCCTGCCTGTCGATTAACGTCTGATGGTCAGAAGCCGCGGCGAAAATCGGCATGATAAAATATGGGAGGAAGATCCGAAACGACAAAAGAACATGGGCACGGGTTGCGCAACGGCGTTTTTGACTCCGAAGTTGGAAAATCGGCGGATCTCGTTTTGGCGGCAAAACAGCTTCTGGCCGTGTTCAAGCACCTGGATTCGGAGGGGCGGGATCGGGAATCCGCGCACCCCATCCGCTATAAGAATAACAACTGGCTATTTGGTCGGTTTCATTCGGCCGTCATGAGTCGCTTATGCAACTTCCTTCTCATTGTCCTCTGCCTCGGCGTCGCCGCCAATTTAAACGTCAAGGTTTGAGGCAATTTGTCTTCTTCAAAAAGTCATGCGTGAGGTCCAAGATATAGATACAATTTTATGAAGCTTTTCCACGCGATTTCAAGAGTGCAATTAAAACCGAAAAAACTTATTTATTACTTTATTTATCTCAATGACTAAAAAAAACCATTTTCGCTCGAAAAGCTCTACAAACATGATTTTTTTAAAAAATATTATTCATCACCATACCTCTAATAGTAAAAGAAATCGTTTTTTTCGTAACCCCTCAGTCCAATTTTTTTAGGTTCATAAAATGTATTTCGACAAAAACTAATGACATTCGGCTGATATTGTGGATCCAGAGCAATGACGAAGTGTTCAAAAAAATGAAGGGGCCTTCAAAAATATAAACTCTTTTCCTTTTTCCTTATTCCATTTTTTCATTTGGGCAATAAAAATAGTGGAATAAATATAAAAAGAGAGCGATTACCGAGCTGTTTTGAATAGTCTCTGGCGGTTTGAATTGAACTCGCGCCAAGAACTGCGTACACACACGCTACGCGTCCCGCCCCTTGCCCCGACTCTCTCGCCTTTCAAGTCGGGAAGTATTGACTATATGTTCAAACTTGAGATCTCGTAAATCGTATTTGATCTTGATCAAACTTTTGTTGGAACAAAACCCAAATTTATTTTTTGTAGAAAGAACGAGACACAGAAGTTCGCCATGAAAATCGTGTCAAAAGACAGACGGTAATTTATAGAGTGATTAGCCTCCACCAAGGATCTTTTTAGGAAGAAGACAGACAAAGAGTTCAATCAAGAGTAGAGAGAGACCTGTGGGAGATCGATTACTACAACCAACTGATGCAGCAGCACAGAAAGGAGAAGCTTCAGATTGAACAGACGGCCATTAAATACAGAGAAGCACGACAGCAACAGCTCAAAGGCTACGTGGAGGCTGGAAGAAAAGCCAAGGTCTTCATAGATTCCAAATATGATATTTTAGTCTAGTCTAGACTTGAAAGGCGAGATGGGTAGATTGGCAAGGGAGACGCGTTGCGCACGCGACGCGGATTTTTGGCGGGAACCTTGAGGTCAAACGCAATTTTTCCCTGGAAGCCGCGTCGCGTACGCAACGCTTCATCCTTGGGAATAAACACACCTTGCCTTCCAAGTCGGGAAGAATTGACTATAAATAAAAGCTAGCTTGAATGAGACTTTTCAGGCGGACGCCCTGGCCCAGGCTCAAGTTCAAGCTCGTGCTCCAGCCGTCCAGGCTGCTCTTGTACCAAGTCCGACTACACAAGTTCCTCCAACACAAATCGTCACGAAGAAACTGACCCAAGACATTTTGGACCAGCTCTTTTTCGGAAGCACCACCACCACTCAGAAACCCCCACCGGTTAGTTCTTTATTTCAAATTATTTTATTTTACAATAAGTTTTCACAGCTTTTTCGAAAATCTCTGCTAGGTGATCTTGAACGCATGGAAGATCTCGAAAAATTCCGTTGCGAAAATTATGTTCAACACACTATAATCAGAAGGAAAAACTTTAGGTTGCCTGAAAAATTCAAAATGTTCGAATAAACTATAAACTGTCTCTATTTACCTTTTGGGCTTGACAAATTAGAGACTTGAAAATATCACTACTTTAAAATTTCCAACTGAAGAAACGTCAAGGAGAGAAGTTTTTTGTGGGACTGGAACGCATACAGCTGTTTCCAATGACCTCATGACCTTGTGACGAGGGTAGATCGAAAATCGTTCTTATTTCTTTCATGTTTTGACTTTTGGTCACTTTTGAACTTAAGAACGACATGTTCAACTAGTAAAATAATAATATTTCAGGTACCTCTCCTCCTGTCGGAGAAGCTCTTCAACAAAGTCCATAAATTTTTCAAAGCAAAAGAAGCGATGAAAATCGATGAAGAAGAGGAAATGACCAAGAAGAAGATTGAAGCCATCAGAAAGTTGGAACCCACCACTACCACCACCACAACCACGACGACGACTCCAGTCCCGACGACGACCGAGAAGGAGACGTTCGTCGTCGCCAAGTTCGACAGCGAGATCTATGAACGTCATCTGAAGCACTACGATCGAGTGATGGTCCCGCTGACGGCCGAGGAAATGGCCAAGGTCAAGGTTATCCAGGAGGTCAAAGTATGATGACGTTCCTCTCCTTTGTAACACTTTTCCCTTCCCGCCGCATTGTGTCATTTCCCGTCGTTGTTTTTGTATGAAAATGTAGCAAAAGTAGCAGAGAACAACGTCATTTTCTTGTTTGTGTAATGGAAGAATACTTTCTGACCAAGGACCCTTCATTGTGTTCTTCAGGTTCGCGAGAAATTCGCTCCTGCTATTTATTCCCCTCCGTCTGCAAAGACGGAGAGAAATTTTCTCTTTTTTTATTTATTTCACGGTTTTTTTGAATGAAGTTTTTTTATGAATCTAATACTTACATTGGATCGAGTTGTTTTTATTTCCTTGAAGAGATTTGTTGATCGATTATTTCATACAGGTTCTGAATAAAATTGATGAATAAATGTGAACGGCTTTCAACGATTCAAGTTCATAACCTAAAACAGAAAATAATTGAACAAAAGTTTAATGATTCGACTTTTTCAGTCAAATCTTCACAAAAGGCTCAAATTTCCCCGGTTTTCTACAATTCCACAGAGAGGTGATTTCATTTTAAACTTGAAAATTTCTTGAAACTTCACTGAATCAATTAGTAAAATTCTCAATAGCTTCATTTTGCCAAATTTCCTAGTTTTTGAAAAACAAGGTTCGCATAACATGTCTTCTTCAGTAACCTCATTTAATTCCAGTCGTGTAAAACAAGCGTCCAAGTCGTTTGAAGTGGTCTTTGAACGGAAATATACACGATAAAATATATAAAGAATAAAAAAATTAAAAAAATATTTTTCAAAAATTTTTATCATTCCCAAATGCGTCGCGGTGTATGCGGTATTTCCGGACACTGTATAACAGAAAAATGGCTAATTTTTTTAACAGTTTTCTCGAACCCTCCTAATTTTTCTTATTTTTCTTAACTTTTTACAAGTCTCAAATTTTATAATCGAAAAGATAAATTTTGAGCAAAAAAGTGAAAGCACAGCGATTTTTCATTTTAAAAATATACTGCAACCTTCCGGCCTTTTCTATAATTATTTTGTGCTGAACCGAAAAAAATTCAAGACGAGAATTCGAATCCAAACTGAGTCATCCGGCACAAACTACTGTTTTCGAAAACTTTCAAGTTGAGAAATGAATTTGAAACCTGTTACACAAAAAGAAAGCCAGACAAACAATATCGTCAACCAATCCTCATGAATCATGAAGCACTTTTCAAAATCACCTAGATTTCCACTCAAAACACGATCACAACGTTGTGAGCAAGTGGAAAAATACACGAGGATCAATATCAGTTGACTTCTCACGATTTTTCTAAACAGCTGCGTCAGAATGACATCTTTTTTTCCACTTTGACTTGCTCCTTGTTTTTTGTACAACTTTTTCCGCTTCCTGGTACGATCAAGATTTGGCTAGAGTTGAGTGGAAACTTGTTGAGAATGTGAAAACAAATAGAGAAGTTCTGTTCGTCTAACATTTTTTGATCCTAATTCTTTTAGGTTCTTCTTTTGAGTTCATCTTTCAAAGTTTAATTTAGAGCATCTCTTTTTTTAGCTTTTTCTTATAAAAAGCTGTAACTTTTTTTAAGTTGTGTTTAAGACCAATTTTCGTCTCAAAAAAATGCGAAGAAAAAAATCTTTTTTTATTCTTGATCTCTTTCTCTAGGCTCACCGAAACTTAGCCAAAAAAATCTGGTTAGCTCTTATTTCTGCAAAAAAGCCAATCTATTACATTTTTCGGCGCCTGATCAAATACGAAATTGTTTTTCAAGGTCGATCCAGATATCCAAAAAAGGGAAAAGACCGTATAAATGGCGAAATTTGAACTGCGGACAGGTTTTCTCCTGTTTTTATTGTGAACTTCCTCTTCCATTTTTTCTCATATTGATTTTTTTTTGGTTCCAGTTGATTTAATTGAAGAGTCCAAAAGATCAAATGTACAAAGTAACAGAAAATTAATAAGATCTCAAAGATCATCTTTTTGGAACCAGCGTCTTGACCAGAGGCATGAGCACGAGCTCAACGAAACAGTGACCATTGGCTCTGAGGCAAACTGGTTTTTGGTCGGCTAGTGATCTCTGGCGAAGGTAACCTCCCTGTTGGGTCAGAGGTTATGCCAAACATCAAGAGGTGCCAAAGTCTCGGTATAAATGACCGCCGTCTCCACCAACGGAAACCGTTGTTCCGTTGCTCTGGCTCACATCCCGTCACTCGTTTCTTTCTTGTTTTCCTTTTTTCTTCGTCCATGTACTCAGGAAAATAGATAATAACTTTTTTCTGGGATATATAAGCTTGAACTTCGTCTTTTCTTCGCTTTTCTTCCTCGTCTTTAATATTTCAAGTTTATTTTACGCGTTTTTAGTTCATTCACCGCTTACTCAAAATACTATTTGGCTTGAATCTACATAATTTGACGCAATATGCAAAAAAAGACTCAGACCTAAATTCTGTCTTTTTTCTCAAGTTGGCGGTGAATTGAGTTTTTGATAAAGATCGAGAAACGGCTCAATTTTTTAAATACTTATTTTTCTCTATGTTTTTTTGCACTCTTGCCGTCAAATATGGTTCTTTCAATCGCTAACTTTTCAAACCTTTCCAGAAGTCATGTTCCGGTTATTCTTCGTTTTCGTCTTCTTGTTCCTGGCCATTCCATTAGTTTTATGTTCAACTGTATGCAGAGACGGCATCGACAACGTTATCAAAATTGGATCAATTGCCAATGGTTTTTTTTCAAATTTTCATTCCTTTTTCCAATTATCCCATTCAGATCTGCCGGTGATAGCCAAAAATATAACTCTCCTCGCCTACGACTACAACATGAAGCCGTCTTGTTTCGAAAAAAGAGCCAATGTCGTTCTTCCAGGCTATTTCAAAATTATAGGAGGTTTTTGGAATATTTTAGTCCATTCTTTTAAAATTCATTTTTAAGGAGAAGTCCTTACCAAGAAGGACATCGACGTCATCAAGTCTGGAGACGTCAGACTCACCGTCATCAAAGAGGACGAATATGCCTGCAAAGACGGAGAAAGCGTCATGTTCCCCATTCCGAACTCTTTATGGTAATTTATCAATTTCCTAAGGATACACTTGATTCTTTCTGGAAAAATATAAAATCAGACTAACCTTATTTAAACCCAAGGCAGTAACTTCGGGAATTTAAAACCTGTCCTTTCAAAGTTCGATAAATTCCTTGTTTTTTCCGTCACCTTTTCTCGGAACTAAACATTTGGGCAGGTTAAAACAAACTTTTAGGATCTCTCTCTCTCTGATAAATCAAAGAGTTTTTTGGCAAATTTTCAGACAACTCCCAAGCGCAGAGTAATAATACTTCCCTTGCGTATATGAGAAACAAGAAAAATCTTTAAAAGCGTAACTATCTTGCCTTTCAGCCACTTCGAAGCGACCACAATCGTGCCGATCGACATCTGCGAAGTGCTCCAGAAATCAGGCCTTCACACTGTTCGGGAGCTCGAGATCAAGAAAGGCTTCAACTCGACGTTGGAGCTGCCTCCGTCGCCCAGCGTCCTTGGAATCTCCCTTCTTAGCCTTCTTTCAGTGAGTTATGGTCTATTTTCCAAAAAAAGTAGCTTGTACGACGACAGAATAGGTCTTTGAAGAATTGCTTTTACAGCAAGTTATGATTTCTATATTTCAGGGCAACTATCAATTCGTTATTTCCCTGCACTCTCAAGGAGAAAAAATGGTCGAAGTCGCTTTCCCGGCAGGTAACACGAAGCTGCAACTCGGCGTTAGCTGAATTTTGTATTTCACTCCCTTTTAGTCCATTTCTGTGCCATTTCCATGATAATAATACATGTAAAATGAGATTCTTGTCATTTTTATTCTGTATATGCCGACGAATTTCACTTTTCTTTGTTTTTCTTGTGCATTCCATTGTTTTATCATGCTGCTTTAATTGTTTTTTTATGCTGATTACGGTAAATCTTTTTTTTAATTTCTTTGTTTTGTAAAGTGCGTGGGAAAATTTGCAAAACAAGTGGGTGGTTGACATGTAGCAAAAATGTCAGTAAAATCGGATCAGGAAAAGCCGCGAAACATGTGTTTTGAAGCATCGCTTCGATTCGATATAAACTGGGACCCTTGAACGAACAACTTCAATTGTTCTCCTTTTCATCTCCGGATTCATTAAGGATCTTTTTCATTGCCTTTTGTGTTGGCCGCGTTTCCGCGCTCTTGAAAAAAAACGCTAGACTTTTTTTTTGTGTGTTATATTGGAACCACCAAAGAACAGAACTGCTAATAAACATCGTACTTCAAAAGGAAATTTTTTTTTACGGAAAAAAAGGACTTTTAGAAGTTTAAATGTAGTTTCAACAATTCCAAAAGAAGTACCTCCAAAAAACCTTCAAAGAGCATCCCTGTTTGAAAAAAACTTTTTTAAAAACTTCTGTGGAAAAAAATAGAAAAAAACTAGGAAAAAAAGGAAGTTTGAGAAAAAAATTGGAGAGAAGAGGAAAAAAAGCCTTACTGTGATGACGGGTTCTGCAGACACAGTCACGCAACGGCTTAAACTTCTAAATTTCGTAAATTTTTAATGAAAAAATTTTCTATTAATTTTTTTAGAAAAAAAGCTTTTTTTCTATAAAAAAATTATAAAAAAAGCTTCAAAGCTTCATTCTGTGCTGGTTATTTAATTTGCAAAAATGTCGAAAATGAATCATAAAAGTTTCAGTTTCTTCGCGAAGTTTTTCTCCTTGTTTATCGCATTCAATCATCCGTCTCTCATTCGAATCCATCTGAAGAAATCAGGTGTGTTTTATTTTTATTTTATTTTTTCTTTATTCGTTTTTGTAATGGGTAGAAAGACTTTTCGTTAAGAAAAATCCTACTTTCCTTTTAAAAACTGCGCTTACCACTTTAATTTTTTGAAGTTTTGGAATTTGCAGAATTTTCCTAAAAGTTATTCAATAGCTCCATTCTCCATCATCTCTTGACTTCTAATCCTTGATGTGAGTTTTTCCAGCAACATCAAATAAAGGCAAGATTCGATTCTTCCTCGCGAAACTCATTTTCCTAGTTGTCAAGCTCAAACTACATAGAGTTCGTATGAAGATTCTTTTTTCTCTTGATTTGGCTGGAAAAGCTGGCGTTTGGCTTGTCCGGAGCGAACATTCGGCTCTTTGAGCTCCTCGGCAAGAGTTCTTTTTACCCAATGATGCGTTCCCCGGAGACTTCTTCGTCGCCACTAGATATTATCGTTCCCAATGTTTCTACCATCATTTTCACATCTTTCTCTAAGTTTTCATACTAGAAGTTTTTCTTTTTATGAGATTGATAGATGGAAATCTGTAATTAACGTAGTTAGCGAGGCTTTGAGCCGTTATCACCGCGGCCAGATTACTCGAAGCTATTGCGATTGGAGAACACAGAATTTTTAATACGAAATTTCAGACGGAGCCTAACTTTTCAAAAAAGTTTTTTGAGAAAGCATTCTTACCATGGCGTTTGATCACAAAATCTTCCGACGAAAAGTTTTTTTCAAGAACTTCTGCTTGTGTTTTTTGAACATCATTCATTTGAAGCTTCAGAAATCGAGCCCTTCTCTGCCAATCGAAAAAAAGCAATCCAAAAAAAGCTGTCTGAATTTATTACTTTTGAGCAAATAACTCTTCTTCTCATATATCTTCTTTTTTGACCTCTTTTCAATCGCTGCAGGTTTTTTTTCCCATGAAAAACCTATACTCAAAAATTTATCGTCAAGCTTTTAAAAAGTAACTTTCTTCTCTAGATGTATGTTTCTATGATGGTGCGAAATCGGAAAAAAAGTTATTCCCAGGGGCCAAAAAAAGGTCCTGAGTAGTCGAAAAGGGAAACAGAGTTATCAAATTCTTGTAATTTTTCAAAAGAGGTTTGAAAAAAATATGAGAAAAAAAGAAAGGGAATTTATTTTTTTCTAGCATCCGAATGATGATTCAATACATACATGTAGGATATGAGCTTCTTGAAAATTAGGTTCTTTAAATTGTCAGATTCAGGTTGAGCTTTTTTTAAACTTATCTTTGTCTTATAACTTCAAATTTACGGTTTTGAAGGGACGGTTTTTTTGTTCAGTCTCCTTATTAAAAAAAAACATAGAAGAAATTTAATGCTTGTATGAAATTGAAGCTTCTCGTTGTTTTTTTCCCCTTTCGGGATAAATTTATCAAGTTAAAACGCTTCTGACATCTATTTATAGCTGAAAATGAAACATTGAACGAAAAGTCACCACGTGGAGCGATCCGATTGGCGCCAGAAGCCATCGTCGCCACAACCGCGACGTCCAACCCATTCCAGCGGATTACGCGATTTTACTGCTCATTTTTGCTCTTCCGCCGCCGCTTTTCCCGTCCTTTGTTTGGTTTTACAGCTGAAATTAGTTTTCCAACGTTTTTGGGTTTTTAAGTTGAGCTAGTGTTAAGTTGAACTTTCATGAAAGAGGGGAAAATTGGAAGATACAAGGTGAAAGAAGTTTTTGTGAATTATACGTAGTTTGGAATTAACTTCTCACTGACAGAATAAAGTCATCTTCAGTCTTTAATTAAGCCATGAAATCCAATAAGAAGTTTTTCAAAAGGTTTCTTTTCATTTTGGGAGAAATGGGAAATAAACGTTCTATTTTCTGATCATATATTTCTGTTCATACTGTTCTGATTTTTAAAAATTGCGCAAATTTTCGAAAATGGAGTAAAAAATTGACATCTTCTGCTTATGAATCGTTTCGAAATCGATTTCATTACCAGGTTTTTCTTAAAGGCTTTTTGGATTTTCTAGAAAATTGTATTAGTAATGTTTTGAAACGTTCGCATGTTACCTTTTCATATCAATGAAACTTCTATAGTTCTCCACCCAATTTTTCCCTTCAAAAAACCCCAAAGCTCTATCGAACAGCGGCAGTAAAATGTGGAGCTTCAGCCTGTCAAGCTTTCAGCCGTCCTCCCAGATTGAAATGAAAAGTGCCATAACGAAAAAAAAAAGATTTCTTTTTCTGACGGAAGAAGCTGAGTGAAGCTTCCTTGTCTTTGTAGGAATGAGTTTTCGGTTTGTCGCAGAGAGTTGTTTTTAAGTCGATTTCCTCCTCAATCTTGTAAAATAAAATTATTGATCCCATTTTTGACAAACGTTTCGTCCCGACCAATAAACAGAGTTAACTGTCTGTCCATTAGAAAATAAGTTCGTTTTTGTCAAGTTCAAGATTGAAGAGGTCGCGAGTATTTCAATAAGAATAAAGAAAAAAAAGTCGAATAAATTCAATAGAGGTTTCCACTAAAAATATTTCTAACAATTCTTCCAAATAATCCTACAAGAAATACGTAGGTTTATTTTGCCGTTTCATGCTAGTGACCATTAATATGTTTCGAAGTGGTCACTCAACAGAGTTAAAAATGGCCAGTTTAGGGTCTGACTGATAACTTTTCTTTTCTAGGAAGCTCACTAAGATTTTTGCCAGGTACCTATAGCCTCTAGGTATCGAACTTCTCACTTTATTCACCATATCCAAATGAAAAACTTGCTGATTACCTGCTTTTTTTTCGTTAAATATAAACGTTTTTCATCACTCAAACTTTATTTTGAAACTCATCATTTTCAGACTTTCTGCCTCAAAATGCGTCAACGATGAGAGCGGCTTTGGCGGCTGTGCTGTTGTTCGTTTTTCATTTTCAGGTAGATTCCGAAGAAAAAAAACCTTGGGCAAAAAAAGTTTTTATTTTTACGAGTTCTCAAGGTCCCAAAAATTCTATACAAACTGATATTACAATGTTAACTCAGTAGATTCTAGCAGTAAAGTATAAAAGTTTAGGAGGATTTAATTTTAATCCACTTCAAAAAAATATTTGGCTTAAAAAAATGCTCGATAATCAATTAAAAAGGCGGGACAGAGTTAAACGATCAAAGTCATGAAATTTTGAAGTGTGGTCAGTTTTTTCGAAGACCTTTTTAGGACAAAACTTATTATTCATTCTTAAAATTTAAAAAAACGGCATTTGGAGCGCCTTTCTAAAAAATTTTATTTGTTCGAAAACCGGTTTCGACTTCTGAATTGAACATCCAAAGTGCAATTTCTAGTTTCGATACCTAAGCTTCGAAATGTGGACGATTTCATTTTATCTTCGCGCTTCCTAGGTGCCATCATTGAAGCTCTATTTGTGGATTTCTCATATTTTTTTCTATTTATGTTGTTGCTCAGACTTGCTCGGGAGTTCGGGCAGCCCTCCGGATGCGGAAAAGGCTGTCGACGGGCGACGAGAACTCGGAGGACGACGACTACTTGGACGAACAGGAACGCGACGAAGTCTACAACAAGGCGGCCATTTTCGAGCAAGGGTACGACTCCCCACGGACCCTTTTCTGGGTGGCATTCGCCTGAATTCGAACCAATGAACTTCATTTGAATTTTCAAGCCTTTTTTTTGGGAAGAACAGCTTCAATAATAATTATTTTTACGAGAAGAAGGACGAAAAAAATATACTAATCATTCTGCAAAAATATTATTTCATAATTTTATAAATGAAACAGTGAACTTAGCTGCTGAAGAAATGAAGAAATCAATTAGAATTTCGAATCGGAATTACTTGAATAAAAGCATTTCCTTCACTGAAACCGACAAATTTATTGAAATGCTAAGTTCTGAATGACGTGAAATACCGGAAAGAAGACGAAAATTTTCAGAGAAACTCACGATTTTCTACAATTTTTGCGTAGCATCAAGTACGATCACCGCCAAGTTCCTGATGACGTTTTTGGGGGTTTGGATTAGATCTAAGGAATCGGAGAAAAAAATATATTCCAGGTCCAGTCGCCGTGAACGTTTCCATTGTGGTCAGCAACATTCGAGCTGTGTCTGAAGTCACAATGGTTATTTTTCACCTCATAAAAAAGCGTTTTCGAAAATCAAAATGGTTGTGGTTCGACAGAAATAAATAAGTGTTGTATCAAAGATTTATGAAACAAAAAAAATTGAGTTGTGATTTTTATTTATGAATTTTTAAGAGGATCGAAATTATAGACGGTTTGGATTTTGAATATCGATGACGTCATTCACAATTCTGCTCTGGAGTCTCTGATTAGCTTATAGTAGCATTAGGGGCGGTTGAATGATACCTTGAAATTCAAAAAAATTGATTTTTCTAAAAACTCATTTTATCATTTTTTTAGGACTACTGCGTCGAGATGTTCTACCGCGAAAACTGGCGCGATCCGCGTTTGATCTACAGCATCAACAAGTTCAAAAAAACAAGGTTTTTTTATCAAGCAAATTGATTTTTAAATCAGTTTGATAAACTCTGCGTTTTGTAATTTAGAGGCTGTCTAGAAAAAAATCCACTGAGAAAGCTGCCATATCGCTCGTCCAAACATTTTAAAAATTTTAAAAAAACAATTTTATAATAATATAATTTATTTACAGGCAGAACGAAATAAAATGTACAAAAAAGAAGGGAAGAATTGGCATAAAAGCCTGAAATAAATAAATAAAAGGCACTTGAGGCCCTAACGAGCCTCTGAACCAGTATTGAAAGATGATAAGGTCAGAATACGAATCGAGGATTGTACAGAGTTTTAAAATTGTTATCGAGGGATAGTAACAAAAGCGATCTGGAGAAACATTGAGGTTTCCCAATGTGGCCAGTTTATTCCAAAGAGGGATGAACGTCTCAAAGAAATTTTCGAAACGAATCCCTACTCTGATAAGACGTGATGGAGCACGTACTGAATTTGATCTCCTGAAAACACTGTGAGAAAATGGCAAATGACTCTCCTTAATATAAATTTTATGTAACGTTTTTAGACAAAATTCAACTCTTCTTCTGAAAAGAGAGTTAGTGTTAATTTGGGCTAATCTATCTTCGTAACTGGAAAACCTAATGTTAGCTCTCATAAATGTTTACCGAGTGAATTGACGGAAGATGTTTTCGAGGGTGTAAGATAGTTCTGAAGCTAGGGGAGGAACGAACAACTCACAACAGTAGTTCATATAGGGAGCAACGTAAGTAAGAAAAATCCGGCTCATTAGAGCGGGAGACAGAGCGCGGAACGCTCTGATGATTTGTTTACTTTTTAGTTTGCATAAGGCTATAACTTTACGAACGTGAGGCTCAAATGTTAGTTTGTTATCGATAAGAATGCCGAGATCACGAACAGCTTCCGCAGAAGAGATAGTTATATTATTTATAGTATACTGAACATGAGGGTTGCTACGGCCTAGATGGAGAAGGGTGGTTTTGTGTTCGGCCAGGGGAAGACCCCATTGACTGGACCATTCGAAAACGTTGTTGAGGCCTTGCTGAAGCGCTATAGGATCGTCAGAAAAAAATTTTAAGATCATCAGCAAAAAAAGATAGGCCTTTACGTTATCAGATAAATTGCTGATAATGTCGTTTATGAAAATTATGAATAAAAGTGGGCCGCAAACTGTTCCTTGCAACACTCCAGATGTAATGTTGAAAGCCGAACTGGATATGATACCTTCGTTGATGACAAAGGACTTTCTGTTGGATATAAATGATGCGAACCAGCTAATGAGCTTTGGGTCGAAGCCAAAATCTTGGAGTTTGGCGAGCAGAAGGTTATGGGGGAGCATGTCAAAAGCTTTAAGAAAATCGATATATACTACGTCTACATTACTACCAAGAGCTAAGGATCTCTTCCAGTGCGTGATGCAGTCGAGAATTTTCTTGCTCCATCTGTGACTTTCATGTTGTAATGAATCAAAAGTTAAAAATTAAAGTAAAAACGATATAGCGCAAGACGTTCGCGATATCGCGGCTCCTCTGCGGCTTAGTGTTACTCTCGCTGCAATATAGTCCATAATAATGATATTTCTTACAAAGTTTCAAAATTTCAAACTTCCAGACGGAAATATCTCTTCACGAAAGCTATTCCAACTTCCTCTGGCATCCGGACACTTTTGTCCCCAACGCGATCGCTTCCAAGAATCCCCGTCGCCAAAGCATCACTCACCGATCTTTGCTCAGGTTACAATAATAATAATCTCTTTTTTTTCGTTTGCTTTGGAACAACATTTATGAGCAGTTGAATGTTGTCAACAGCTGGCGGGGCACATTTTGCGGCCTTTTTTTCGAATTTCGGGGGTTATTAGTCTTTTCATAAAACGGGACGACAAAAAGCTAGCCGCAGTCCAGAAATAAAAATTTTTTACAGATGAAAATTGCGACTTTATAGCTAGCGAGCTCTCGAAATAGTTTGATTAACGGAAAAAAAATGTTTTGACACGACATTAGAAATATTTTTGTACACAGACTCCGCCATGACGGAAGCATACTGTACAGTCGACGGCTTTCGTTGGTTTTGACCTGTGGAATGGACTTGACTTTGTTTCCCTTCGATACACAGTTGTGCAAAATGGGCATCGAGAGCTGTGAGTCTTCCAATTTTTTATTTCAAAAAAGAATTTTTATATATTTCGTAGCTTCTTGAAGATAATTTTTCAAAAAATATTACATGGTATAGTCTTTGTGCCACGGCTTGAAATTTCACCGAACGACGTTTCGCTGCGTACGGTCGCGAAGCGTCTTTGCCTTTGCGGATCTAGGTCACCCTTCCAGACTATTTTTATTGCTGATAGATGGATTGTTCCACTGCGAGTATTTGAATGAAAGAAAAAATTGAAAGCGCGACCGAGATTCGCAAAGGCGCCCGGCGGAACACCGGAATGTCGTTCGGGGAAAATTCAAGTCGTGGTACACAAAATATAAAGACTTTACCGTAAAGCCTATGCATCTAAAATTTCTGTGAAGGGTAGAAAATTTCAGAAAAAGGTTATAGTAAATTTTTTCTGACAAAAATTAAAAACTATCGAAAAATTGTCTCAAAACAATTCAGACCTACAGGGAACCGTCCGGTTTGCACTGCGCCGTCTCCGCTGGCCATACTAGACCATTTTCGATTATTTTTTCTATTCAATAAAATGAACAAGGCTATTTGCGACATTAATAGATGTAAACCGGACGGGCTGAACAAATGTGAAAAGAATAAAACATAAAAAAGAGTGACTCGTGTTTGACCTCGAGCTGGAAGACGCTTCACCCTAGCCAATCTACCAATCTTGCCTTTCTAGTCGGGAAGAATTGACTATGGAAGATAACTTTTAGACGGCTACACCGCGGACCAAGTTCGGTACATGTGGTCGACGGGCTACATCCAATCGTTGACACTTCACAAAATCCGATTGCCTGACTTCCAGGTCAAAGAAGCCTTCGTTACAAGTCGCGTCGAGTCCTACGCCACAGGTGAATTTCATTTTCCTTGCTTTTTATGTTCCATTTTCCAAACCAACTTGGATGCGTCTAGGAATAAATTCTTGTTTTCGATTGTTGAGCCATTTCCTCTTACTGTAGCCAGATTACGTTAGGAAGTTAGGTACCTGAGTATCTAAGTATTGATGAGTTTTTATTTGGCAAGTATTTTTTACTTCAAAATATTATAAGACTTTTGAACTACTATGGATTTTTGAATTTCAGGAGACTATTCTCGGCTCTACGTTTGTTTCGTTTTCAACCGCGCCGCCGGCTTTTGCTTCCTCCAACTGATAATTCCATCGACGGCCGTCGTTATCACGTCTTGGGTCTCTTTGTGGATGGAAAATGAGACTTCTTTTCAAGTTTTCAAACATAAAAGCCAAAACAAAGCTCCGAAAATGAAATTCAGGACATGATCTCAATAATATTGACGATAACTTTCCTGCTCTTCTCATACAATGAGGTCATGCCGCGAGTTAGTTATATCAAAGCGATGGATGTATATCTTGGTTGGTTCAGAAGTTTTTCAAGATTTGGATTTTTTAGAGATAGAAAACTGTATGAAATTGTCTTTTCTCTAGTTGAAAATTTGTTTATTGAGAGAAGACGTGAGGATAAATTTGAAAAAAGACCCTTTTTTCATAGGATTTCGGAAGTTTTTACAAGTTTCAAGCTTCTTGCTTTTTAAAAAATTGTTCAAAAAAAAAAGTGAAACTCTCTGCTTAAAAAAGGTGTGAGATTGAACAGAATTACCTGAAAATTTGGCTCAATTTTCTCTAAATTTCCAGGAGTTTGTTTCTGCATCGTTTTCCTGTCCCTGATCAAACTGGCCGTGGTCAAATACATGCGACAGAGGCTTCTGATCACCAGGTTCGACCTGAATCTACGTCAAAAGTTTTCCCACAAGTCTGACCTCAACCTTTTCAGAAAACTGACAGTTCATGCCATGCAAAGAATGTTGAGTATAAATGATCCAAAAAACGTAGAACCCATGGAACTGTCGGTTGAGTCGGTGGATACCGACGTTTTGCCATTCATCGACGTGTGAGACTCCTCTTTTCGTACTGTTCTGCACCTATTTCATGCTTCTATCCGCATGTCAAAGCTGCACACTTTTTCGAGATTAAGCCATGTAAAATCGATAGTTTTGTAGAGAAAATTATTTTAAACGTTTACGGGATTTTCTGGTTTTCTGAATATTTCAATAGTTAAACAAACCGCTGAAACCAGAGGAATAAAAAATAGTCTTCTCATATCAAATCAAATAACAAATTTTTTTATTGGTCTGAAAAGAAACCAAAACGCCTGTTTATAAACAAAACCTAGATCACTTATTTCAAGAAGGCACGCAGAATGAACGCTTCACCGAGATTTTCGTGATGAAACTTTTCAGGGACACTTCGATCGTGGCGGCTGGAATCGTGCCAATGCTGCGGATTGTCAACGGCGTGTCTTCTCCAGCTACCGCCAGCGCCTCTTTCAATTTCGATCAGAATGGCAGCGGGTCTATCAAGAAGTTCAACTCCAATTCTGGATCATAAGAAATTAAATTCTTAGAAAAAATTATTTCTTACGATTCTAAAGGGCTTCTTTTTTTGGATTCTAAAAGACTTCTTCTCGAGAACTGAACATTTTTGCGAGCCTTCCAAGAACTTCTTAACTTTAAGGACTATACAACATATTCTAGCGAATTCTATAGTACAGAGTAAAATAAGCCTATAACATTTTGAGCCTAAAAACTACTCCCAAACTTTAACTTCTACTTTAACCTTGAAAAGCTCTTCAGATTGCCCCTCTACACCTCGGTACAAGTCGACAAGCACGGCTCCACCTCGACCGTCGACCAGAAGCCGTCCAGAATCAGCTGGTTCGAATTCACGCCGACCTTCGTCCACAGATTTCACTGGATCACTCAGGTTTAGCCAATCGGGAAGATTTCTCAACGTCATTTCAGATGGCGTTCTTCTTCGGATTCGTCGTCTTCTGCCTCTTCTACTTCCTCGTCTACCCAAATATCCACTCTCAACTTCTAGATGAGGACTGCGACCGCAACGGCGCCGAGTGGTTCGCCGACGTCAATTGACCATTTTATGAAAACTTTTGACTTTCTCGGACCTCGGTAGTGATAACCGGACGCGCACCGGACGTTTCTGAGCGTTTCTAGGAACCACGGCGTCAGAACTCTTAAGTAATTCCTAGAAATGACCATAAACCTCCGGTTTGCGTTACCGAGGTCCGAGTTATAATGTAAGATTATCAGAGGAGCTTAATTTAACTCAGAAAAAGAATCGTTTAAGAAGTTTTCATTTATTTTTGTTTTTTTTTTCGAAGTTTTTAAAGTTCGAAGACTTCGTTTTCAAGTTGACAAAAATATACCATAATCTTTCAAAAAGAAGCTCTTCTTAATAATCTTGTACCCTACTTTTCTGACTTACTCGGGTGCCACAGTCAATCCCCCTTCTCAATGTGCATGACGCTTCAAAGAATTAAATTTATTCAAAAAAAGGTCGCCGGTTTTTCATTGCAAAGAGTATGGGTTGTTCGGAGCATTAAACTGAAAAAAGAGTCGTTATTCAGAAATTAATTTTCAAGGAATGACATTTTACTTTGCTGTTAGGAGGTCCGTGGAAAATGGTCAGAATACTTTTTTCTAATGTTCTCAACGTGCAAAACTTCCTAATTGTCACAAAAAAAAAATAAATGTATCAAAAAAGTGGCTTTTCGAGAATTCAGAGGCGTTTTTCCTTGAAAATTAGGAATTTTTGCAGGTTGACAGAACCATCAGAGACCGGACTCCGGTCTTTTTACTCTCAAAAATTTGGTAAGATGTGCAGTTTGAGACTTGCAGAATCTTCACCTGGTACTTCCAATTATGGCCAGTTCACTGAGATTTCGCAAAAGCAAAGTAAAATGACATTACCGGTTAGTCAGCACTGGCCTTGCGGGACTGGAAGCCGGGCTGTTCCTGGTATTGAGGCTCGGCGTAATAATTCTGGTGATGGTAGTAGAAATACGGCTGCTGTTCCATGTAGTTGCCTGGTTTGTTTTGAAGTTATTTATCAGAATTCTTTGATTTAAAAAAAAGGCGATTACGCAGAAAACTTCGTTTATAATGTTTATAGCTGACTAAGGGCTGGTGTGAGCCATCGAATACTGGGTCCTAACACGATAAAAAAAAAGACAGTGCGTGATTGGCGGAGAGCGCAGATAGGCCACGCCTCTTTGCCTCCCAAGATTTGTTCAAATTTTGAATTTCAAGTACAATGGCGTCATTCGAAAAGGCTCTGTGAATGGCTCGCTCTCTGATTGGTTTATTGCGCTGTTAGGGGCGAAGCTTGAGCGGCGACTTGAAATTCAAAATCTGAACAGACTGTACAGTAGAAGTGAGACGCTCTTCCGATAAAAAGTGGCCATACCTGGTTTGCGAACCTGAGGGCTGATATTCCGAGCCGTGTGGACGTCGCGAGTCGGATGGTCGAAGAGGGAGACCTGCGAAACGGACGGGAGCTGTCGCAGGTCCTCCAGCGAGTCGATCGAAAAGTCGCGCAGCTTGTTGTGATTAATCTGAAGTCGCTAGTTGATGCTGATTTTTTTGGATGGAGACTCACTCCAGAGCTCGTGGAGCGAGCGGCAGGTTCTGGGAGCTGTTCAATCTCGTAGAGCGAGTCCGGCGAGTAAATATACTTGTTCAGGGTCTAAAATATCCAGAATCTGACTAGCTAAACATTTTTTTTTACTGCGGTATGATTCCGAAAAAAATGTCTGAAGAAGGTTCATACAAGCTTTTTTCCGAGCAAGTCCTGAACTATCCTTACCTTCAAGGATTTATCTTGAAATATCTTCAGCTTTTCTTATTTTAGCTTTTACGTTTCCTCCAGTTTTCTTGGTCCAAAGACGGGAGAAACGTAAAAAGACAAACCTGAGTCGATTTGGTCCTTCTGCAGGGATGTTCGGAACACTGTTGGAAGCCTTCCGAGTCGTCGAAGTTCATATCGATCGCGTTGATCGCGGCGAGGGAATCAGCAGTTCGCAAGTACTTGTTCAGCGTCTGCAAATTATTAAAGCTCAGAAGTCATCTTAAAAAAATTTTATTTCCCAATAAAAATTTATCGAAAAATTGATTTCGTTGACCATTATTCCATGTTAATCTTAGAAATCACCGTAAACCAAAAGAAATTGATCTCTTTCTGATTTTCTGAAACCAGAAACCAATCAACGTCACTTTTTCGAGGGCGTATCGCTATCGTATTCTATAAAATTACGTGGATGACAATACGAAAAGGTTATGGACCCCTTTTTGTCCAAGAAATAAGTGTTTCCGATTCGATTGTGATATGACGACATGTATTATATGATATATGATATATTAAAGATAAATGTTAGAATTTCTATGAAAATTTAAAATTTGATGAAAAATTGATATTCGAATTATGAAAACCTTTTTTTAGGACTAAAATTCAAAAAAACCGATCCTTCAAAAAATGGATTAGGCTGATGATCAATTTCAAATCTTCGTAACAAAATTTAAATTTGAAAATTTTCATTCTTATTCTTTTCCCTCTATTGCGTTCAACTGTGTGTTTCTCCAAAATCCACGGAGATTCAGTGGGATTTTGAAAGCGAGAAATCTCTTATTACAGACCACCCCGTTTCCTTGTTGAGTGATAAAAAGCAGGAGTGCTGCCCAAGTGGAACCGTTATATCTAGTGATCCTTAAGGAGAAACTACTACTGAAGCTCCCGATGTACCAGATTTTGTTCAAAAGCTGAAATTAGACAAACCTTATTATTCGGGGCACGAACGGCAGCCGGGTACTCGACGCTGGTCTCGCCTTCAAAAGGATCCGGAAGTTTGCGGATCTGATTGACCGTCGCCGTATTCTGCGACACTTGCGAATCCGAGCGGCATGGCTAGATTTATTCGTTTTCCCTTGATCTAAAAATAATCCCCACGATTCTATCAGTACGCTCACGGCGTCTGATACCGTCCAGCGGTTGGTACTGTGGCAGAGAAGCGTAAGGGGTACTGTAGTCGGAAAATCGCGAGTTACGGTACTCTGGCTGCACCATCTGAGGCACGATGAAGCCGTTGGTGTAGGCGTACGACGAGTTTGACTGAGAATAGAAAAAAATAATTGTGGATCGTTTTTTTTTTCATTTAAATTACTACCGGCTGAAGAGTTTGGCTGCTCGGGTAGTAAGAGTAATCCGAGTTGCTCTGAAATTCACATTTTCGACAGATTTCAAAAAATTCTGACAAACCAAGGAAATGGAGGTCCCCGACACGGTTCTCTGAAAACGAAAAACTCAAATAATGGTCTTTCATAATTGAAAGAATTTGGATGTAGAATTTTTAGCTAGATTTTGAGAGGCGCCAAATTTTGGCGTGGTTTGAACTTTTTTTCAATGGAAGTGAATCTTCGCTGATGAGATTCTCATGAGAAATCTTTTTGAACATTTTCTTTTTGAAGATTTTTTTTTTGATTATTTTTTTTTCTCTGCACATTTTCTTTTACAGAATTTTGATCAAACATCGTCTCATTTCATTGAAAAAGGTACAATATTTTCAATCCCCATCAAAATCTACTCTAGCCATAAAATATGAAACTCACAACGCTCGGAATATGATCCAGAACTTCCTGAGACTCCGCCGAACGAACGTATTTATTGACTGTCTGGAATGAATACTCACTCTTTTGCCAACCATTTTTTGAACCTTTGAGTCTGAAGACACCTCACTGTCGCTTTTACAGTGATAAGTTGGGGCGAAAACGGGTCGCTGAGATTCGTAGCGAAGAGCCGCCGTATAAGGATTGAAAAGGCTGCAGTTCGACTTAAAAAAAAAGTTGCTTTCATCAGAAATTGACAAAAAAAAATTTGATTCGAGTAGGAAAATTGATCAATCCTTTTTAGACTTTCATAAGGATGCTCTAGACAATCTCAGAGAGTTTTCAAATCCTCAGCTGAGTCCAGCTTGTGCTTCAGGCCGAGTCGATCTGGGACTTGGGCCCTCTCAAAACTTTCACCAAGGTTCTTTCAAGCTAGTTAATTTATAGTTTTCCGTATAAGAAGAAACAAAAACGTGATTTTTGTCGTGAAAAAGTCTGATATTTGAGGAAATTTGCGTTCTTTGACTCTGGCCAGACACTTTAGGTTGAGAGCTCGCCGTGCCGGGCAAAAAATGCCCGGGGGTCTATAGGCTGACGGGCCAGCCCTTTCACAAGCCTGAGTTGATTTACTTGTACGTAATCCTTATGTATTTATCTTACAGTAATCCTGAAACTTACGGTAGTGCGTCGGTTTTTGAAGGAATCAGATCCTTCCATCGGTATCTGCTGTGCAATTTCCGATTAATCTCATGAGCAGAACAAGAAAAAGCTACGTTTCGGTTGTACATCGGACAAGTCGGTTTCCTTCGAATTGACTGAAATGCCGCCAATCGATCTCTGCTTCACGTCATTTGTTTTCGATTTGAACTTTGCCGAAAATCCGATTAATTTTTGACCTAATCACCTGATTTTTAACTTTTTTTTTTTGGAGTGCTGATATGGAGATAACAAAGAGAAGGGTGTGCCTCGCAAATAGGCTGCTATCGTAAAACATTTTCCTCGATATCAACAAGTTTATAACTCTTAATCTTTATTGCAATGGTATAGATGCACGCCTTATGACGTTTTCTCAGGCGGAACGGAAACGAAAAATGAATTTCGAGGTCATCAGAGGGGAAAAACAAAAAAAGAAGGGAAAATACAACTTTTGTGTTTTTCATATGTAAATTTTTAGGATTATAGGGATCATTGCGACCAAAATGTTCAAATTGAACTTCTCCTCATACCGGAGAGCTTTGAAGAAAAAAAAGTTGAGATTTCCAAAACTATATGAAACATGAAGTAAACTAACTGCGTTCCTATATGTTCGATTACGAACATGAAAAAATTTGTTTCTTTTTTTTCTAGACGCTTTTAAAGATTGTCAAGGTTCACTGCGACCAAAATAATTATTCGAGAGTCTGCTAACATATTTTAACTGCTAGAGAAAAATTTCCATTAAGTGGGAAATTGTCATTACTGAACATAATTTTATGCCTACAAGTTTGAAGTTTTTTCTTCGAAAAGAAAACCAAAACAAAAATTAAATTTGAACTCTCCAAAAAGGAAAAAAATCCTCTCTGAAGGAAATTTTTATATATATATTATGGAGAAATTATAGCGTGACTTGAAACTTAATAGAAACGGCGTTCCGGTCTTTAAAAAAGGGATAGCTTCCGTAGTTTTCCTGAAGCTGAACCAGACTTTCAGTATACTTTCCACAAAGTTGGAAAATACCCAATCAAGTATTGTCTACTCCAGCGAACCCGAAAATCGATGTCGGTCACAAATTTGATGCTTCAGTTCCACGAAGAAACGCCCTTCCCTGTCTGAACTGCCAGCCCCTTCCGCCCACGAGCAAACGCCTTATCAGCGGCTTCATCTTCTTATCATCAAAGTATAAAAACGCCGCCAGCCCAAGCTGATTATCCAATTTTCCAAACGGCTTCTCTTTTCTCCTTTTCCACGCTTTTCACTAAAGACTTTTATACTTGCAGGCGAAAAAACCTGAGACATGGCTCAGACCAGATTCGCTCTGCTGTTCGCAGCCCTTCTCCTGGGTTAGTTGTTGTGTATTGAAACGAAAACATTATCATTTTCTCAGCTTCTGGCACTTCGGCCCAGAACCAGGACCGAGAATGCGCCTGCGACCTGGCCAACCTGTGGCTTGACGTCGTCGTCGTCGTGGACAACTCTCAGGGTATGACCGCCCAGGGAGTCGTCCAAGTCGACTCCGATATCGTCACCCTTTTCGGCCAGTCCACAGTCGGTTCCGGCTACCAAGATCCCAGAAGCACCCGTGTCGGTCTCGTCACCTACGCCAGCACCGCCACGCAGGTTCGTTAATTCTTCTTTTCATAAAAAATAAAATATAAGAGACCAAAACGTCGACTTGTACACCTTTCTAGAAGGTACTAAGACAATATATTTATCGCAGAGATTTCCAAAATTCAGAGAGAATCAAAAACAAAACTCGATGAGAATAGCAGCAAAGTGAAAAGTGTACAGAGCAAACGAATAAAAAAAAACACTGTTGAGAAGTTTTTTTTTCAAAAGCATAGTTTCTTTGAAAGTCAGAATAAGCTTTTGTTTCTTTTTCTTTGACATTTTGCTTTCGAATGAAGAAATTTTGCAAGTCGTGAAAAAAGCTCTTTAAAATTAAATTCCGTAGCTATAAAAGTCACTTTCCAGCAATTCGACTTGAACAGGTTCAACAGTACGGACGACTTCATCCAAGGTATCTTCCAGTACGCTAAAGTCTCCACCGACGAGAACTCTATTATCAAGAGGTGAGATCAAGTTTCCTGGCTTTTCTCTCAACTCGAAACTTCAGCGGCCTTTCGTCGGCCTTCGATTTGATGACCAAGGCGAGAGCCAACAACGTCCGCAGGAACTACAAACAGGTCGTCATTGTCTACGCTTCCGACTACAAGTTCGTTCGAACCGAAAAACCCGAAGAGCTCAGGAGAAATTCAGAGAGGACGGTGAGAACAACCCGCTGCAGATCGCCGACCAGATCAAAGAAAGTGGCACGACCATCATCACCGTCGCCTTCAACCAGAACACCGGAGGTGCTCTCACCGCAGGCCTCGCCAAGATCGCTTCCCCTGGCGCCGCGTTCAAGTCCACCGACATGAACATCGTCGGAGAGATCCAGAACATGCTTTGCCAAGGTTAGCAACACCCCCTCCCGAACCTAATAAACTATACTTGCAGTCAATTGCTTCTGCCCCGACACCTGGGTTCAGTACACCAACGCCTTCAATGATCCGACTGCCTGGAAGTACGGAGTCTGCCTCAGAATCGGTTCGCAAGCCAATCAAAAATTAAATAAATGACAGAAAAATCAAGGCGAGATCGATTCGATGTGGACCGCCGCCAAGTACGCTTGCCAGAACCTTTTCCAGGGCGCCTACCTCGCCACCGAATTCGACAACAAGAAGCACGATTTCAGCCGATGTTTGTCATTGAATTTGACTTTTTTCATCGCTGGCTTGCCACTATTTTTCAATTCTTCTTGAGATCACTCAAGCTAACGGAGAATAGATTATAGAATTTATTGATGAATATTAATTTATATTGTTTTTTTTTTCAGTGTTCTTCAGCAACGACACGACGAACTCGCCGCCCTACATGTACCACATCGGCCTGAGCTACGATACTGCCACCCAAGCCTACACCTGGGAGCAGCCTGCGAACGTCGCCAGGCTCGGAGTAAGTCTATAAAATATTCAGAGAGAGATAGTAAAAAAAATTAAAAAAGGCTAAAGAACGAAAAATTAAGTTTAAAATAACTCTTTTGAAGTGAAATATACAGAAAACTAGTCAAACGAAGGAAGTATAGGGTTGCTCGCTCAATTCGAAAGTTTCGTGGAAATTGAAAATTTGCAAATAAAGTTTCTTTTAATTTTGCAAAACAGAAATTAACTCAACAGCTTCGTTTCAAAGTGAACTTCGATTTAAAACAAAAAAAAATTTTTTTAGCAACTTTTTATACACGATATGTTTGTGTTTGCTTTAAAATTTATTTTTGCATTCAAAAGATTCAGAAGCGAATTTCCAATAAAGCTCCACTTTTAAAATAGAAATAAAGCTCATTATGGTTTCAAAGAAAAAAACTTTTTTTCGTAAATAATCTTTCAACATCAGTTTGCATTGTAAGAAATAAGTTCATTTTTATTTTTCAGCTCTCCGGCCAAACCTACAAGGCGTGGAACTCGGGCTACCCTCAATTGACCAGCTCCACTGGTTGCGTTCTTAACCAACAGTCGGGATCTGATTCAATGGTCCGTTTCAAAATACCCTTCCTTTTTCAAGAAGCAATCATTTTCAGGTCGGATGGCAAAACGAAAACTGCTACTCAGTGGCGAAACGATACGTGTGCGAATTGAGTTCCTGTGATACCAGCAAGTATTGCGACAATCGTGTCTGATTCTATTCTAATAATATTTGTATTTTTCGCTCATACGGATAAACCTTTTCCCATCTTTTCGAATCACGAGCGAATGACGAATATGATGGAAAGAGAAGGTGTCTTTTTTATCAGAAAGACACACGAAATTGGCTTATCGTCGATTATCAGGCCGTCAGCCAGGCTCCCAACAGACTGATAACGGCATAATCGGAGCAAAACCTTCTTTTTTCTTTCAAAAAACGTGTAAAAGGGAGCGAGAAACACTTTATAAGCATCGTATCATCATGAAAATTGGGTAACAATAAAACTGATTCAACAGAAAAGTGAGAAGGAGCGGAACATTACTGGAAATGCTCACGCATGGGGACCTAAGCTAAGAAGACAGAACAAAGCTCAAACTGAGAGAAAATTATTCAGAATATAAATTACTACTCTGTTCCGCCTTGTTTCAAACAAATAATCAAAGATAATTGGTCTTATTCGAGTGCTCGAGGGAGCAATAAGCCCGTGATAACCAAAAATAAATTGGGTCGTGGTTAAGGATCATTTCGAGAAATTTGAAAGGCACCAAATATTTGAACTGAAATCGCATCACCTTCGGAATTTCAGAAAATCATTCACAGACAGGCGGGAAACACAACAGAAGCTTTGTACAGAACCAGACTTGTTTCCAAAGGTTTTTTCACAACGAAATTGGCGGGAAATTGAGGAATTTCGATGGGAACAAGAAGAAATGAGTGGGGGAGATTCAGCCGCGTCGACTGTGCTTCAAAAGGCCGAGTTCCTTGATCGCCTTGTACTGGTCCGGGATCTCCATCAGCGCGTTCAAAGCGAACGAAGCTTCGGGGTTCGGAGACTCGAACATCACCTTCAAACCAGTTTTTTGTACTCAAAAGTTCTTTTTCGAAGAAACCTTGTGGAAATCGACAAAGTGGAAGTTGTCGAAAAGCCTCTTGGGAATGTTGTCGTCGAAACGTCCCATCATGTTCCACGGACCGTCGCCAACACCGACCCTGTAAAAATATTACGAGTCTACATTCGAATTTCCCAAAGCTAGAGAGCACAAGAGAGCTTTCAGAGAAAAAAACGCTCTCCATTTTTGAAAAGCTCGGACATACTCAGGAAGGGCAGAGTGATCTCTATAGGGTTTAGAGAAAAAAGCCCCTATACTTAGGAACTTTAGAGTGGTCCCTACAGGAGCCTTTGGAGGATCTTCTTTAGGGACCACTTTATCAACCCCTATAGGGCCTCCTAAGTGGTCACTATAGGGTTTCAGTTAATGGCCCTTTTAGAAATTAGTTTCCGCTTCAGAACCAACTATCTATTTCCGCTTCCAATTTGTGATTTACTGAACTTTCTTCATTTTAAAATCTTTGAGTTTCTTTTTAGGTTAATTTATCAAAGAAAAAAAGTTTTTTATGTTTTTTTTTTCATTTGTCTTAAGTCGCTGTTAAAAGAAAGATCAAAATTGAAACAAACATGATGATGCTGAGCGGGTAGTGAGAAGCGGCGGCGATTGCCTTCTGGTTGATTTTCTCGTTTGTCACCTGATTTCAGAATATTAATTCTAGAGCCATAGAGATTTCTCTTGCACCTGTCCATCTGCGACAATGACCAAAATGTGGTAGGAATGCTTTTCTTTGCAAATTTCGATCGCTCTTTCTGAAAAAATGTATCTTCCTCAACTCAATCCGTTTACTTCACCAATTAGAGGGACGAAATTCGTTGGGCCACTCATTTCGATGCTCGGCGTCACGTCGTTGTAAACTTTGAGAACTTCTGGAAAAATTATTTTTCCTACAGAGAAAAGTTGTTTTCAAAATTAATTTTTCAAGCGATTCAAAAATTAAAGAAATTTTGAAAAATGACCCTTTCAGCTAAGATTTTCGCGAAAAGACTGGAAAATCGAGTGAGAAATCAAAAATATAGGTCTTTTTTCGATTTCTCTTTCCCTCAGACCTTCGAAGCCATTGCAATCTTTGTCGAGATTGTAGCGATCGGCAATGTTGAAAATGCCGTGGTCCGTGAACTCTTCGTCACCGAAACCGTAGGCAGGGATCTGGCCGTCGGCATCAAACGACGAGAGCGTCTTTCCGACGATTTCAATCACCTGAAAACTGACTTCCTTTCTTGATTTTCCCACTTCCAAACCTGCTGATATGGATTGAACTCAGCGGGGTCCAGATTATGCAAGTTCCGGCCGTCGAAAGTTCGTTCGCCCTGGTAGAAGTTGGACTTTGTGTAATCGATACCAAAGATCAAATTGGAGTACTCCAAACCAGCCTGAAAAGTATCTTTTGAAATCCTGACACCTGACCTGAAGTTTGTGAAAAGTTGCAGTTCATGCTACTGAGAAAAAGTAGGGAAAACGTTTTTGTATAAAGGTTGAGAAAAGAAGAGAAGTAAATGCTAATTTTGTTTAAAGAAAAGTTAGGAAAAGGAAAGAAGATTTTGGCTTAAAGTGCTGAGGATAGTAGTACATACTCTTGCCGGGTCAGTTCCGTCGATGTGAATCTAAACTAATGGTTTTATTACCCTTGCATTTATTTTGAGCGTGACATTTTTTTAAAATAAAATGTATAATAAAGCGATACAAGGTTCATCGAGCAGTGGCAAGCGGTTATATTCTGAAGTGTAGGATCTAAATTATGTCTACCACTACTTGGCAAACCAAATACCAATTCCTATCCAACATAAAACCGACTTGAAAAAAATATACCAAGTGCCGGTTTTTTTCTTTTTGATTTTTTTACCAAAAAAATAAATAAAAAAATTTTTGACATGCATAATATATCTTTTTTTCAATCGAAAAAAATCGTTTTTTTGTGCTATCAGTGCTGTTATGTTGAAAGAAAAAGGCAAACGTGTTTTATTGCGCGGACGATGTCGTCGAGCGTCTTGAAGTGCGGAATATTGTGGGGGCTTCCAACCGCCAAAGCCTGCAGAAGACTGTTGCGCCGCACTGGTTTGCTGAAAATGAACAATTTCAAAAGCTTTGTGAAGTTTAACGTTAAAATTCAAAATTAACATTCAACCAATTTTAACTTTAACGAAAAAAAAAGTTTAAAAAATTTCATTCGAAAACTGCGCGTGGCGGAAAGTTTCTGCCTCCTTTCGTAACTGTGTATTTTTTTAAACTATTTACTTTTTACGGGTAGATGAAAATTTGATGGACCAGCTGTATCGCATAAAAATTCTACAACGCGCGGCGAAATAGTGTGGATTTTACTATGTAGAGATTACTCGAGATTGCTCGACAGTCTTACAGAGAACATTCATCCATATTTTGACGCAGGTTTCTTTCGAAAAATTATTTTCTTCATGTGGTAATTTTTCGTTGATTTTTTTCCGTCGTATACTTTCCGCTCAATTTTTTCATTTGAGTTTCAGATTTTTCAAACTTTACTAGTACTGGTCAAGTTTTGAATACGGAAAAAATTTTCGTAAAAATGGTTTTTTGAAAGGAAGTCAAATTTCGAACAGACTATAATTCAAACACTCACAATGCGGGTGCCTCGTTGCGACGAAGGTCGCGGGCAAATCTTTCGCGTTCTTTTTTCATCGGTTTCTTGATTATAGACGGCTTCTGGAAGGCCGGCTCCACCTGCATCGACATATCGAGCCCGAGGCTGTGATCGATGGCTTCCATCGTCTTCTCCATGACTTCGGTGGCGAAGCTCACTCTGCAAATGTACGCATTTCTTTGTTTAACTTTTTTTTTCATTGATCCCAGTTTTCAGGCTCATTTAAAATTCAGGGGAAGTTGATTTTTTTTCTTTTTTCCTTCTTACTGTGCTGTACTTAGGCCATATTAGTGAGGATATGTTTTTAACCTCAAAAATATTAGATAGAGCAAAAATTTTCTCAAGATTTCGCAAATCACAAAGAAGTCCGAAAATTACACTGAAAATGGCCTTTCTTCTTGAGATTTTTTCGGAATCCGTTTATGCTCCTTTAAAAATCCCAGCGAAAATTTTCGTACACTTTTATTTTTTCTCAAAAGTCTGCTATGAATTCCCATTTTTTTTAAGCTGTTAATACATAGTTTTAAAAAAAAATCTTTTTTCTACCTATTTCTTTTCTATCAGACTGGACTTTTTCTATGCAATTTTTCTCTTGGACTTCTTTCCATCAGTAATTATTTACTGGACTTTTCTCTAAAGGTCTGTTCATCAGAATCTCAAAGAACCCACCGTTTCTCCTCCTTGCGACGCTCCTCGACCCTCTCGCGCATCTGCACGTCGGCCGTCTGTTCCAAGGTCGTCGTCGACTTCTCGAGCTGCTCGTCGACTCGGATGATCGTCTCGCTGGCGCTGTCTGTACGCATTTGAACGGGTGAGATTTCGCGCGTGTCCTTATGTACTATGCCTTCCACCTCCACCTCCACCATTCGCCGGTTGATGTCGATCTGTTCGATTTCGATGAGTTCTTCTCCAGCGGCGCGAGTTCCAAACGCGCCTTCAATCAGAACATGATCCGTCGTGATGAAGACCGTCTTGAACTCGGTGGGCTGCTTCGAGTAGCTGTAGCCGAGGTTGAAGATGACCTCTTCTGAGCTGGATGAACGAAGTCCAGTTGGCTCTCCGGCCATTGGCTCCGCCTTCTTTCCAGTCGTTCGATCATCTGTTGCGTCTCTGGGGCATGTCAGGTCGGCGTAGAATGTGATGGACTCTTCTGATGAAGCCAAAGTCTTCAGCGTCACGTCTTCTCCCTTGTTGGCTGTCGTCTGCTCCAAAGAGCTCGATTCAACGAGCTCTTCTCTTCGAAGTTCAGCTCTCAGCGACTGTCCCATTTCAGAGGAAGCCGAGGAGCTGAATTGAAGAGCTTCGGATCTCGTCGTGGCAATGACGTGTTCTGTAGCTGCAACTTCATCCTCTTTCTTCAATGACGAACTGAAAACGTCTGAAGATTCACCGGCTGCCATGCAGCTCAGATTAGAACCACCGCCGTAACGTTTCTCATTCCTAGTGTGTTCAATATCCTCCAGGTTTTCGTCTCTTCGAAGGGCGTAATTGATTCCAATCGCTTCTTCGCAAGATTCTGTAGAACGGAAAGTCACCGGCTCCATCTTGTTGGACGTGATCTTCGTGATTGAAACGTCTTCAGTCGAACTTCTCTTGTTTCGAATCTCAACAGAAAAGGTAGTATCCTCTTCGGTCGAAGCTCCGACGCGCAAGGAGGCGACGTCTTCATTCGCGATCTTGCGAGTTATTGTTTGCTGTTCAACCTTTTCTGGGACGAATAGTTCCTTTGTACAGTCGGCTGTATTGCTTTCCGCGAAGCCTGTGTTTAGTCTTGCTCCTCCTCCAAAAGCAGGAATGCTGATAACCTTCTCGTGCTCCAAAGAGTCGTTCTCTTTTTTGAGCATGATATTGTTCGTTTCCTGGATCTCAGATGATTCGAATACTGTCATTTTGACGTTGTCTCCAGTTCTTGCCGTAGTTCGTTTCTCGTGTGCTGAGTCGGTCTGGCCGCTCTTGTTGAGCGCTGAACTGACGCCACAAGTGTTTTCCTGGGTGGCCGAGGCGAAAAGCTCAACTGGAGCAGCTTCATTGCGCAGAACCGTGAGCTTTTCGGCTCCAGCTTCGTGGAGAATCGGCTTCTCCCAGTTTTCACTGGTAGAGGTGCTCTGGTCTCCGGCAGCTGAGGTTCGAAGAACGATGGAGCCACCGCTGCGTGCCTCGTCGAGCGTTTCTGAAACTTGTGCTGTGCTTGGTTCACGATCGTACACAACATTGCTGGTCTCATGCACTAGGGTGCTCTCGCTCAACATCAACTCTACGTTCACGCCACGGTTCGCCGCCTCCTTGACCACCCTACAGCTTTCTACGGGTGCAGTTCTAGACAAGGCCGCATTCGAAGAAGTAGAAGCTTCCTTGGAGCAGCTGCAGGACAGGATCGGCATTTCTGCGGTGTTCTTCGAGGTGATGACAATGATGGCGTCGAGGTCGAAAACTGCTGAAGCTTTTAGAGCCGAATCTATCATCGCCATGGTTTCCTTGGAAGCTCGCGAAGTGAAAACGACTGGCTCTTCAGAAAATGCGATTTGACGAGTAATTTCGAAGTCTTCTCTCTTTTCTTTTCTGACCAACTGCGAGGCAATGTTCTCAACGAAGCTACTGGACTCGCGGAATCTTATTGTGATGTTTTCACCACGGTTAGGAGCCTCACGAAGTGTCTCGCTCTTCTCGGATGGTTCTGGCTTGGTCCAATCGACGTTCACGACGTCTTCAACCTGTGTCGAAGCGTTGGCGTTGAAGGAAATCGGCGCCGCTGAGTTTGGAATGATGAGAACCTTCTCGACGTCAATCAAAGCCAGACGTTGTTTCTCAAGAACTCTGTCTGAAACGCAGCCCACGTCACTGCTGTAGCGTGTGTTGAGAACTTGAAGTCCACCATTTCTGGGCTCCTTCATGGTACGCGCCACGACTTCTTCTTCGGGTTCGCGTTTGTAGTAACAGTTGGTGGTGTGGTACTCTTCTGTCGATTCTCTTATCGTCAGCTCAGCTTGATCCTTGTTTGGCGCAGGAAGTGTCTTCGAAATAGTGAATTGAGGGAGAGGATTCTGCCAGGATTCGACTATTTGTCGAGTTTCATCGCCGGCTGCGTAGGTCTTCAGGAATTGTGGGGCGAGAGTGTTAAAGGTGTTAAATATGCGGGTAGTGGCAAGGTCGGATGGCCGAGGACACAAGAGAGTGCCGCTCATCGTCGATGAGCTCGTAGAAGCCGCATTTGTAGACAGGGTGGCCGCGCCGCCGAAGCGTTTCTCGTTGAGTGTTTGCGCAACGCTTGCGGCACTCGCATCGCGTTTCAATTGCTGAGTGATACGTTCGTTGTACTCGCTGCACTCGCGGAGATTGCTCTCTACTGGAATTCCCTTGTTTGGCGTAGCCAGGATCTTTTTCAGAGCTTCTTTTGGTCCCAGCTTGGAAAGCTCCTGATTGACAACAGCCACGATTGCCGTCGTGCCAATCGTATCCATCTTTGCAGGTTCACCCTTGTTGCCGATGATGATCGTCTTCTGCACCTGGTCGTCTTTCAGATGACTCAAGTCCCAATTGTTGTTGACGACGACCGATTCTTCTTCAGCCGCTCTGGTGTTGAGCTTGAAGGCGCCGCCGTTTCGTGGAACATTCCAGACCGTATCTAAATCGTGCTTTTCATTCGGTTTTTTGTAAATTGGGTGCACATTCTCAACGCTTTCCGCGCTCTCCTCCACTCTCATCTGAACCGTTTCTGAGTTCTTCGCTTCGATGGTTTTGGATATATTGAAGGAGGTCGACGGCTTGTTGAAGTTCTCATTGACTGTCTCCGACTTGCTGGTAGTTGCGATGGTAGTTAAGGACAACGGAGTTGCGGCGTTTGCCAAAACTGTCGTCTTTTCAGTGTGAACAACTTCAAGACGCTCTTTTTCGAGATTGCGCTCTGCAGATATTTGGTGGTCCTCCGCAGCGTCGGTCTTGAGTCTGAAACTGCCTCCGTTTCTCGCGATATCAACGGTCTTGTGGTTGAATTCATTTTCTGCTTCTTGGTCGAAGTCGTAGTACATCGTGTGTTTTTCTTTCCGAGACTCTTGGAATTTGAACTTTTGATTGCTTCCTCGGTTTTTATCCTTGACAATTAGCTCGTTGGCCGTTTTCAGCGGTGGCCGATCGAAGTTCGTGACGAAGTTGATGGCTTCGACAGTCGGGACGAAAGTTTCCAAGGCGGTATTTTGTCCCTTATTAAAGTCCACAACAACCTTCGCAGCTACGTCGAATTGATCTTCCACTCTGAGAAGCGGGTTCGAAGAGATTTCAACAAAGTCGGCAGCCTCGCACTTCAGAAGAAGAGGATTCTCGGTGTTTGGAACTTTTCGGATGGATTGGATCGCTTCCCTCTTTTCAGCAATCTTCAGGTCGTAGAACATGTTGGTGAACTCTTCCAGAATCTCTTGCAGGCGAATTGTGTAAGGTTCACATAAGTTGGGACAAGATCTTGTTGTCTTCGAAGATTCTTTCTCTGCCGGCCTATCGTAGGTGAAACTGGAGTTGATGAACTCGCTGGTAGTGGCGTTGACTGTCAAAGAAGTAGTAGACTTTGGTCTTTGCACTTGTTTGTTGAAGAGCTTCTCAGCTTGCAAAGAATGCGTCAAACTGGAAGAAATGTTCTTTTCTTCCAATGAGGCAGCCTTTCCGTAAAGGAAGTATTCACCGCCGAAACGTTTGTCAGTCCAAGTTGTAGCTTGATCTTCAGTTTGCTGTGGAGTTTCGTAAGCAACACCGACTCCGATCTGTAGATCCGTGCTTTCTTTCATTCTCTTCTGAACGTCTTCTCCACGGTTTGGAATCACAATCAGTTTGTCGTAACTCAAGGCTTCTGGCTTGACTTCCAAAATCTCGTTCGTCTTCGCTTCCACATCCCGACTTTCCAAAGTCTTCAGAACAATCGGTTCGTGGCTCCTTGGTATCTTTTCAATTTTCTCGAAGTCTTCGAAATGAATTTCCCGGCAATTGATTTGTCCATAGAAAATGCACTCGTCGAATTCGAACTCTTCGGTGTTGAGGACAACGCTCGGAGACTTCCTTGGCTCAGGCCATTCAGTTGACGTCTTCTGGATAGAGTCCTTCTTGCCTAGCAGCTCAATCGATAGCTTAGTTTTTTCATCACCAGCTTCTTCAAAATCGACCTTGATAGGTTCACCATGGTTCTTGGCAATGGTCTTCTTTTCTACGTCAATCTGGTTCGGAGTCTTCAGAAGATGGTGAGAAGACCAAACGACGTCGCTCTCGACGGCGTCGGCACGGATGTAAACTGGCGTGGCTGAAATAGTGGTCTTGTCACGCAGGCACACCTCGTTTGTCTGATTCGGCTTTTCGACGCTAAACCTATGCAAGTTAACTACGGCGTTGAACTGCTCATCTCCGCTTTCCTTCAATCTCCACGATTCCTTTCTGAGCACTTTCTCCGCCAGCGTTCGCTCGCACTCTCCATCGGTTATTGGTTTCGCGTCGAGGTCCGAAAGGACATCAGCTGCTCCGATTTGGAAGTTTCTAGAAGCTGCATCAGAAGAAACTAGATGGACGGTGTGCTTGGTTGATTGTTGCGAGTCTGGAACTTGCATATGTTGATTCAAGATTTCGACTTCTTCTTGAGCTTCTATTGTCTGCAACGAAGACTTGACGACGTTGGCCTTGGAGAGGTTGAGGACAGCGTCCAGATCTGTTTCGACGCCTTCCCAGTGTGAGAGGATCTCCACACCGTCTCCTCCAACCTCACGAACTTTGCTGGAGCTTTTCTCGGTGAGAACATGACGTTTGCGGGCTTCTGTAGATTCTTTCTGCTCCACAGATCGATTGTAGTTGGCTGCCGTGGTAGCATCAACTTGCTTTGCATGGCTTGTCACCAAGCTCGTAGAATCGCTCCTAGCAAGTTTGGCGCTAGCTTCAGCGGTACTCGAAGCGTGTGGAATGGACAGCTCCACGGTGGCCTCGCTTTGTTCATCACCTGCAGACATGGTGGAGAAGAGCTGTTGTAACGTGGCTTTCAGAGAGACAGTATGAGAAGAAGACTCTCGGACCTTTGGTAGAGGTCTTCTGACGAGGTAGACACCGCCGCTAGTTTGTTCCTGAGTGTATTCGCGGAACTTTCCTGCTATCTGTTGTTCACGATTGATCTCGTCGACAAGAGTTTCAATCTCTTCAATGTCGGCGTCAAGCTTCTGAACTTCAAGGTTTCTTTCAGTCTGGTCGACTGCAAAGAAACGGGAGTCTTTGTCGATGTTGGTCTGAGACAAAGACTTCTGAACGGTCGCAGTAGCCGAAGACTTGCTGATGTTGGCAGAGCTGCTCGCATGGACTTCTTGAATGGCTTTAGTCCGGAAAGTCAAACTGTCCTGGACTGCTTGAGTCTGTGTAACTGTGGCTTCAAGGTCGTTGAGAAGGGTGTCCCATTCTGCACTGGTCGATTGCAAATTCCACTCTTGTTCTTTGTACTTCTTCTGGACACGCTCTCTGGATTTTTCACGCAGTCTTATCGATGCTGCCTCTCTTCTTTCGCTTCTCGACTGAACGGCTGTGGTAGTTGACGTCTCTTCAGTTGCCGCATTCGTTTTCATTGAGAAGGAGTCAGAATTACGCGATTTGATCTTTCTAACGCTCTCCGAAGAGTCTTGGACTTTTTCAAGCTTGCCGATCGCTTCGATTTCTACGCTGGTGCTTGCCTTTGAATTCAAAACTTCTTGCCAACGACGTGCGATTGGAATAATCTTCTCAGCTTCTTCGTATTCAAACTTCTTTTGTACCATCTTTCCAAACAAAGTGCAGACTTCAATGTTCTCATCGCCAAATTCGTGGAAAAGGTCGCTGACCGCCCTATCCATAACAGATATCGTGTTGATGTACTCTGACATGTCGTCGTTTTCTTCTTTTGTCAGAACCTTGTCTGATTTTGTCATTTGAATCTGGAAACGGCGCTCTTCGGAAGCTCTGGATTTGAGAGGAACGTTGTGGTCAGCAGTTCTGGTCATCTCTCCTCGGCCGATGCTCACGGCTCTTTCGGCTTTGTTCTCTTCTGTGGCTTTGACTGCTTTGAAAGTGTGCTCCAGATTGCGCAGAGCAATCACTGAGGTGTCTTCCAAGTCAGTAGCGTTGGTGGTGTAGTGTGAAAGAGCGGATTCATCCCGTGGCTCGGACATTCGACGCATCTGCGACATCGTAACGCGGTCCTTCTTCACCGTCTGGATAGATTCTTCCTTGTCTTTCTTCTCAAAAGCTGCCGACTGCTGAGTGAGCAATTCGGTTGAAGCTTTGACGGCCTTCATGTTTCCTTCTTGATTAGTGCCTATGAATAGTTTTGTGCTTTGGTCGCACTCTGGCAGCTTCTCCATTTCGCTGTCGATGTCTGTTTGCCAGTCTTCTGAAGCGGTCAACTCTGCAATTTGTTCCAGGCGACGGACTTCACTGAAACTGCGAATGGCTTCTTCTCGTTGAGGAGGTTTGCCCTGGAGCCTTCCGAATTCTCCGATCGTCGTTGTTTGTTGGTCTCCGAATTCGTGGAAGCTCATCTGACTGTACTCCTCCATGATGTCGGAAGCAGTGTAGGTGGCGTCGTCTCGGAAGTCTTCACTAGCCGTAACTTCGATTTCGGCCCGAGTGTCGTCGATGCTGAGAGCCCTAGATGTTTCTGCGATTGCCACGTCTGTCACTGCAAACTGCTCCTGTTTATTAGGTCTTCTGACAGTTAGATCAAGAGTAGTGGCCGTGTCGATTTCTGTGACAGAGCGTGTTTGCAGCTCATTTTTCTCCTTTTTGTCGTCTCTCCAGCAAATAAGGGCTTCTCCATCGCTCTCGATGACGTCCCAATGAGTGCACAATCCGCGATTTTCGGTGATGAACTCCTTGTAGGACTGCGAAGAAATGGCTTCTCTCATTCCAGTCTGGACATGGGTGTCAATCTGATGTTCGCTCTTGCTTCTGCACACGATTTGTTCCGTTGCCGATGTTTCACGTGCTTTTGACGCCGTCATGTTGGAAGTGCTCTGCGATCGGTGCATGTCGTTGAAAACCTGTTCTGAGCTCAGGGAGACCTCTTGGCCACGGATCGCATGAGAGACTTCTGAGGTGACTTCTGATGTAGCCGTGGTTTTCTTCTCGATACTCAGCGTTCTCGACAGTTTTGTTGTCGTTTCGGCTTCCTCGTGTTGGGGTCTAGGGGGAACGATTCGAGCCAATGTGGCGCCAGTTTCGGCAGACTGCTCTCCTTGCTGATAGGCTGTGGCGGTTTCTTCTCGATGCTCGCTGATGTGTTGAACTCCTAAAATATCGGCGCTTAGACATTTTCTTTCGATAGAATCTTCATGTTTGACGCTACTTATTGATAACTGGCGCTGCTCCGAGGTTCTAGTGGCGAGTGAGAGGCTTTTCTCGGCGTTTTCAGACTCATCGCGGCTTAGGAAGATATCTTTGGCGTCTGTTGCGGTTTCGGAACTTGCTGCGAGTGTTTTGGAAATCTCAGCCCGTTCTCTGCTCTTTTCGCGCAAAGTTCTGGTGGTTTCTTCACGATCATCGCTAGTTTTTATCAACATTCCAGTTTCTTCTTCTCTAGTCTCCCTAAGTTTTATCCCACTGTTTTCTCTAAGAACTGATTTAAGCTGAATTTCACTTGAATGATGGCTATCTGCCAAGTTTCGTTCCGTCGTCGTCTCAATGGTCGAGAATTCAGCTTGTTTAGTATCTTTGACTACAGATTCTGCCCTGGAGACTTGTTTTGTCAAAGAAGCTTCGGCAAGAAAAGTCGCTCTGGTGAACGATGTTTGAATCTTGAACTGCATCGACGGTTGTTGAACCCTTTCCTGTCAGACTGCCGCTGATTTGCCTTTTTTCTGTGAGTGTTTTCTCAGTTTGCCCAAAAGCTGGTTGAGGCGAGGTCAAACTATCTGCTGTGAAACCCATGCCAGCCTCAGCTTTTCCAAACTCGTGAAGATTTCTCTTGGCTTCTTCGCTTTTCGAGTCTTTCAAAATTCTCTGCGTTTGATTTTCATCAGCATCTTTTTGCATCGAACTTTCACAGGCTCCTGCAGCAATGCCGAAATTGGCGTCAGCAGCGTCCGTTGTTTTGAAAGCCATTTTTCCCGAAACCTCCTCAGTCGCAGTTTTCACAAGTCCTGTACAAACTCCAGTTGACGTTTCCTCTGCTGCTTTTGTCAAAAGGTGAATTTTTTCTGTTTCGGCGTTTTCAGGAAGAGTTTTTTGCGCCAGCTGGCCATGTGAAGAAGTTCGCCAAAGTCCAACAATTTCCTCTTCTTTGCTTTCGTAGACGATTGTCTCCGATTTTTCTTGACGGGCAGCCTGAAGTGTGGTTGCAGTTGAGCCTTGAGAGTCGAGGGCTTGCTTGGTCGTGTTTGTTTCAATTGTGTTGAACTCGGACTGTTTCGTTTCTTTAGCCACAGATTCGGCTCTGATGTCCCTCTTCGTCAAATGAGCTTCTGCGGAAAAGACGCCGTGATGAGAAATATCCGAATCCTGAACGACATCGACAGTTGTTGTAGCCTTTCCTGTCAGACTACTGCTGATATTCCTCTTATCCAAAATGACGCCTTCGGCGTGTTCAAAGGCTGGCTGAGGAGAAACTAAGCTGTCGGCCACAAAGCCTAGTCCTGCATCAGCTTTTCCGAACTCATAAACTTTTTTACTGGTGTCGGCTCCTGTAGAATCTTTCAAAAGAGTTTGAACGTTATTTGAACTCTCTGCTTTTTTCATCGAAGTCTCATAAGATTCTGAAGCGATGCCAAACTTTGCCTCCGTTTCCTCTGAAGTTCGAAGAGACATTTTCCCAGCAACTTGTTCAGTCGGAGCTTTTTGAAGTCCGGCGGACACTCCGGCCATGGCCTCTGATGCGGCTTTTGTCGAAAGCTGAAGCTTTTCTGCATCGAAGTTTTCCGGAAGGGTTTTTTGAGCGAGCTCTCCACGGGAAGACGTTCGCCACAGTCCAACGATTTCTTCTTCACGGCTCTCAATTAGAGACCTCGTAGATTCTTCCTGATTTCGTGACTTGAGAGAAATAGAAGTCGAGTCTTGAGATTCTGCCAAATGCTTGGCTGATCGAGTTTCTACCGTTTCGAACTCGGACTGTTTGGTGTCTTTGCTCACTGACTCGGCTCTCGGCATCTGTTTTGTCATGGATGCTGATCCTTCTGAATTTTCACGTTTCACATCAGACTCGTTCACTGCATCTGTAGTCGTTGTAGCTTGGCTGGTCAAACTGCTGCTGAAATTTCGCTTCTCGATAAGGACGCTCTCCGTTTGTTCTCGAGCCTCCTGAGGAGAAACCAAACTGTCAGCCACAAAGCCTAATCCTGCATCGACTTGGCCAAATTCGTGAATTTTCTGGCTGGCGTCTTCTCTTTTAGAAGCCTTCAAAATTGTTTGAGCGTTTTTCGTACTTTCCTCTCTTTGCATTGAAGTTTTGAAAGCCTCAGTGGAAATACCAAACTTTGCTTCGGCTCCTTCCAAAGTTTGGAAGGCAACAGTTCCTTCGACTCCTTCTACCGGACGACGTTGAAGTCCGGAGGAGATCCCAGTCGTTGCTTCTGCGGCGGCCTTTGTCCTGAGGTGTAGTTGCTCCGGATTGGTATTTTCTGTAAGAACAGTCTCTGTTAACTCTCCACGCGAAGACGTTCTCCATAACCCAACAATTTCCTCTTCTTTACTTTCGCGCATGGATGTCACTGATTTCTCATGGTTTCCTAATTTGAGCAAAATTTCAGTGGAATCATGAGACTCTAAAGTTTTTTTAGTGGACTCAGTTCCAACCTCCATGACTTCTGACTGTCTAGTGTCTTTATTTACTGATTCAGCCCTAGGAACCTGCTTCGAGAAAGAAGCCTCTGCAGAAAGTTCGCCCTGACGAGAAATATTTGAGTCCTGAACTGCATCGACAGTTGTGGTGGCCTTTCCTGTCAAACTGCCGCTGATTTGCCTTTTTTCTGTGAGTGTTTTCTCCGTTTGCTCAAAAGCTGGCTGAGGCGAGGTCAAACTATCTGCTGTGAAACCCATGCCAGCCTCAGCTTTTCCAAACTCGTGAAGATTTCTCTTGGCTTCTTCGCTTTTCGAGTCTTTCAAAATTCTCTGCGTTTGATTTTCATCAGCATCTTTTTGCATCGAACTTTCACAGGCTCCTGCAGCAATGCCGAATTTGGCGTCAGCCGCACCCGTTGTTTTGAAAGCCATTTTTCCCGAAACCTCCTCAGTCGCCGTTTTTTCAAGTCCTGTAGAAACTCCAGTTGACGTTTCCTCTGCTGCTTTTGTCAAAAGGTGAATTTTTTCTGTTTCGGCGTTTTCAGGAAGAGTTTTATGCGCCAGCTCGCCATGTGAAGAAGTTCGCCACAGTCCAACGATTTCCTCTTCTTTGGTTTCCCTCAGATTTGTCACTGACTTTTCTTGGCGCCCTGCTTGAAGTGTGGCTGTAGTAGATTCGCGAGACTCTTCCAAATGCTTGACTGATTCAGTTCCAACTGTGTTTGACTCAGCTTGTTTTGTTCCTTTAACTGCTGAATCAGCCCTTGGAACCTGTTTCGTCAAAGAAGCTTCCGCAGAAAATTCGCCCTGACGAGACATATTTGAGTCCTGAACTGCGTCCACAATCGTTGTAGCTACTCCTGTCAAACTGCTGCTGATTTGTCTTTTTTCTGCGAGAATTTTCTCCGTTTGCTCAAAAGCTGGCTGCGGCGAGGTCAAGCTATCGGCCACGAAACCCATGCCCGCTTCAGTTTTTCCAAACTCGCAAACTTTTTGACTGGCTTGTCCTTCTGAAACTTTCTTCAAAACCGTCTCGGCATCGTTCGAGTCATCTTCTTTTGTCATAGTAGATTCGCAAGCTCCCACAGCAATAGCAAACTTGCCGTCGGTTCCTTCCAAAATTCGGGAAACAATTTTTCCAGAAACTTCTTCTTGATTATTTTTTTGTAGTCCTGCAGAAATACCAGACGTTTCTTCGATTGGAGCTTTTGCTGTCAATTTCAACTGTTCTGCGTTGGCGTTCACAGGAAGAGTTTTCTCGGTTAATTCGCCATGTGAAGACGTTCGCCAAAGTCCAACTATTTCCTCTTCTCGGCTCTCGAGTAGAGACCTCGTCGATTCCTCCTGATTTCGGGACTTGAGAGAAATTGCCGTAGAGTCCTGAGTCCCTGCCAAGTGCTTGGTTGATTGAGTTTCTACCGTTTCGAACTCGGCCTGTCTTGTTTCTTTTGACGCTTTCTCTGCTCTGGGGACTTGTTTCAACAAAGAAGCCTCTGCAGAAAAATCGCCTTGTCGGCAAACATCAGAATCTTGAATTGCATCGACAGTTGTGGTAGCCTTTCCTGTCAAGCTGCTACTAAGATGTCGCTTTTCGATAAGAACTTTTTCAGTTTGTTCAAAGGCTGGCTGAGGCGATGTCAAGTCATTGGCCACAAAACCCATCGAAGCATCAGCTTTTCCAAACTCGTGAAGATTTCTCCTGGCTTCTTCATTTTTGGAGTCCTTCAAAATTCCCTGTGTTCGATTTTCAAGAGTATCTTTTTGCATAGAAGCGTCACAGACTCCTGCGGCAATACCAAACTGCGCTTCAATTCCTTCTGACATCCGAAGAGAAAATCTCTCAAAAGCTTCTTCAGTCGCATCTCTTTGTAGACCGGCTGTCATCGCGGCCGTTTCTTCCACTGGAGCCTTTGTCATCAATTTTAACTGTTCTGCGTCTACGTTTTCAGGAAGAGTTTTTTGAGTCAGCTCTCCACGTGACGACGTCCTCCACAACCCTACAACTTCCTCTTCTTTGCTTTCAAACGTCGACTTCACTGTCTTCTCTTGGTTCTGGGATTTGAGCGAAATAGTAGTGGAATCTTGAGACTCAGCCATGTTCTTGGTTGATTGAGTCTGAATTATGTTAGATTCAGGCTGCTTCGTTTCCTTTATTACTGATTCAGCCCTCGGAACCTGTTTTGTCAGAGAAGCTTCTGCAGAAAAGTCGCCTTGTCGTGAAACATCAGAATCTTGAACTGCATCGACAGTAGTTGAAGCCTTTCCTGTCAAACTTCCGCTGACTTGCCTCTTTTCTGCGAGAATTTTCTCTGCTTGCTCAAAAGCCGGCTGAGGGGAGGTTAAGTTATCGGCTGTGAAACCCATGCCGGCTTCAGCTTCACCGAACTCATGAAGTAGCCTCTTGGCTTCTTCGTTTCTCGAGTCTTTCAAAACTTTCTGTGCTTCATTTTCATGAACTTTTTTCTGCATAGATTTTTCACAAGATCCAACAACAATGCCGAATTTGGCATCAGCTGCGTCCGTTGTTTTGAAATCCAGTTTACCAGAAACTTCTCCATCAGCCTCGTTTTTGAATCCTGCTGTCATCGCAGCCGTTTCTTCCACTGGAGCTTTTGTCCACAATTTCAATTGTTCTGCGTCGACGTTCTCAGGAAGAGTTTTCTCTGTTAGTTCGCCATGTGAAGACGTTCGCCACAGTCCAACGATTTCCTCTTTTTTGCTCTCTCTTAGGGATTTCATTGACTCTTCCTGGCGCCCTGCTTGAAGTGTGGCTGTAGTAGAGCCGTGAGACTCATCTAAATGCTTGACTGATTCAGTTCTAACCGTGTTTGACTCAGCTTGTTTTGTTTCCTTGACTGCTGAATCAGCCCTTGGAACCTGCTTCGTCAAAGAAGCTTCCGCAGAAAATTCGTCTTGACGAGAAATGTTCGAATCCTGCACGGTATCGACAGTAGTTGTTGCTCTCCCTGTCAAGCTGCCTCTGAGATGCCTCGTTTCGATGAGGATTTTCTCAGCTTGCTCAGAAGCTGGTTGAGGCGAAGTCAAACTATCTGCTGCAAAACCCATTGAAGCATCAGCTTTTCCAAATTCATGAAGATTTCTCCTGGCTTCTTCGCTTTTTGAGTCCCTGAAAGTTCTCTGCGTTTGATTTTCATCATCTTCTCTTTTTATTGAAGTTTCACAAGATCCGGCTGAAATTGCGAACTCGGCGCTTGCTTCTTCCAGGGTTTTAGATGGAATCTTCTCATTGACTTCTTGAGATGGAGAACGGTTCAATCCGGCTGTTATCTCATTTTCCGTTTCGGTCGCTGCCATTGTTTCAAGAGACATTTTCTCTGCTTTTGTCTTCAACCCCATGGTTTTATCTGCCAATTCTCCTTGTGAAGATGTGTTCCAAAGGCCAACGATTTCTTCTTCTCTACTTTCTCTCAACTTCTTCGTTTCTTGCTCCGTTCTCGGGATCTTGTTGTCCACTCGAGCAACTCCACTTTCAGTGTCGAATGAGAGACTCGCATCGGCTGCAGTTTCATGCCAAGCAGTTTTCAAGTCCTCGCTTGCATGACCTTTGTCCGAGAAATCTTTCGTAACTCCTTCCTGGAGGCCTTTCGTCGATTCAAGATTGAACGGTTTCTCGATTTGTTCAGTTTTGGACGCCGCCATTTGATGATTAACGCTGACTGACATTTTGTGCTTCATTTCAATAGAAGAGTCCAAATATTGCTCCGCCGGAGCTTCGATTCTTCCTGCTGACCCGCCGATAGTCGTTTCAGACTCTAGAAACTCTTGAACATCTGCGAACGCTTCGTCGGCCGTCGTTTTGTCGGGAAGACTAGAGATCCACGATTCGATTTGAGCCCTCTTCTCCAGAGAGGTGCCCGAAGACGTTGTTTCTATCCCGAACATGCGGTCTACCTCAACGTCGCTCGTCGCCTTCATCAGCCCTGTAGCTTTCGAAACAGAATTAACCCTTTCCAGCTTAACCACTAAGTCCTCAGTGCTTACATTTTGTTGATTAGTGTCTAGTTTGAACTGGTCAGTTTCAGTCAGATGCTCTCGCAATGTCACAATAGCCGATTCGGGCAAACTCGTGCTCCACAGCGCAAATGATTCTTCATCTCGTGGCGGTAGATTTTTAGCGTTAAAACTTGTTTTCTCGTCGGCGGTAGGCTTCGACTTCACTATTTGTTTCGCTCCATCGGCTGAAGCTTTCGTTGACCATTCTCCAAAAGCTGATTCGGTTTGGGATTCAGTTGCGCTCATTGAAGCGTAGCCACGTCGTGAATCTTGATGGATCCGCTCGACGGAGTCTGTTCTGGGGACCTTGGCCATCATGGCGTCGTAGGATGTCCTTCTCTCTGTCGAAGCCTTACGGCTCAATGAAGCCCTTTCTCGATTTTTCATGCTCAAAGTCCTCCTCGCAGACGAGTCAAAGGAATCAGAACGTCTCAGGAATTCAGTTTGGTTCAGAGACTCTTCTGAAGGCTCTCTCACAACGCTTGAAGTGCGGACTAGTCTTCTTTCACGAAAAACTTGCTCAACGTCTTCTTCCTGCTGCATAGGCGCTTCTAACTCTCCGAAGGTCCCACCAAACTTCAAACTTTGTACAGATTGTTCAAAAACGTTTCCTACAGCTGAGTTAACTCTTTTCTCACCTAATAAAATCTTTCCTTCTCCGGCTTCGTTCGGGCCGTCGAATCGGTGAACAGCTTCAGATTGAGAAATTCCGAAGTTTTTGGTTAGACGATCTGTTGATTTTTCGCTGAAAGTTGCGGCTCGAATTTCAGATCCTTCTCCTGTTAAATCTTCAGAAACGTCGACTGTAGTGCTAATCGGTGCGGCTAAATGTTTATCCAGAGACTGGGTTGATAATGTTTTTTGAAGGAAGAATCCTGTTGAAGCTTCCGCATTTGAGCTTGTTCTCCACAAGCCTGTGGCTGTCGTTTCTGAAGTTTCTTGCGCGTCAATGAAAGCATGTTCAGTCAGAGCTGCTTTCCTAAGTTGCTCCACGTTTTTCTGTGACTCCTGAGAGCCAAAAGCCTTGTCAGTGCTTATTTCTTGATCAACTGGAGCTTTTCCTCGGAGAGTGGCAGTTTGAACAGAGGAAGTGTCGATTTTCTTGAAAGTTTCGTGTACCGAATTTTTTCTTTCAAAAGTTTGTTCTTGGTTTTGCAGAACTTCTCTACTAGCACTCATTCTTGAAGAAACTCCAACAAAGTTCTTTTCTTGGATTTTTTTTTCGGCTCCAGCGTATTCTGGCAACGGCGATGACAGTTGTCCCAAAACTCCGCCTGTTTCGACATCTGCTTTTCCTAATTCGCGCACTGTCGAACTGGCCCTTGCTTCTCGAGGAGTGTCAAAACTTTTCCATTGGCTTCGGACGGCTTCTCCGCGGCTCAAGACAGCTGATTTCGTTTGTTCATCAATCGAAAGCCGGCGCTTGACTTCTTCTGAAAGGGAGAATCCGATCGTGGTAGAACTTCCTTCTCTGACTTCTCTTGCCAGTTGGGCATCCTTGCTGCAAGATCTTTCCACGCTGGCTCGTGCTTTCAACTGGACAGACTCTGTTGATTTGCTTCTTTGCAAAATCTTCCCACTGACTCCTTCAACGAAAGAGTCTGAGGACCAGATTCCGTGAACCATTTCCTCTCTCGTTTCAGTGAATCTGTTGTCGATTTTGGTCGTACTTGCCGTTCTGAGGACCTTTTGAACTTCGCGAGGAGCTGGTCTCCGGTGATAATCCATGTTGGTTTCGTTCTCAACATGAGTTGAGGCTAGAGCTGTAAGATCACAGCTGACCATGGTTGCCAGAAGAGATGAGAAAATGGTTTGTTCTTTCGGAGTAATATTGCTAAACTCTTCGTTTTGAAGAATCGCAGTTTCCAGACACTCCTTCAAATGCACTGCGATGTTGAAACCCCGTACCTCTTTGAAAACGATTTCTGCGCCGTCTTCTGCTGTCGGAGGCGCCTGAATCCTTCCAACGATGCTCAGAGCGTCGTAGTGAACAGGGCAGAGGGCTCTGATATTAATTGCTATTTTTCTTCTTTCCTTTTCTGGGAGAGTGATTGACTCCCAATGAAGTTTCGGCATGAGCTCGAGGAATTTATCCAAGGAATCGCTGGCGATGCCAAACTCTGCAGAAATAATTTGACGAAGCTGCTCACCAAATATCTTCTTCCCTCCTTCAAGAAGTTCATCTTGGGATAAGGCCAAATTCGTCTCGCTGGAAACATTCATACTGGCCTTTGTTGCCAGTTGAGCTCCATCTTTTTCAGTCGATTTTGTCGGCAATGTTTTGCGTGTTTCCTCTCCTTTGCGCGTGTTCCACATTCCCAAAACGCACTCTTCGCTGGGCTGTCTGACTCGGAGAGCAGCAGAATCGACAGAAGGCGTCCGAAGTCGATGTTCAATGGAAGACCAGCTATCTGGAACGGTGAATCTGCCTTCCAGACTTGCTTCCCGGGAAAGCGGCGTCCTTCCTGCCAGCTTTACAGACTCTCTAGAAGAACTTCGATGTTTCACAGAAGAAATACCATGTTCTTCGTTTCTTCTCAATTTGTGTTCCGACGATTGAAAAACTTCGATGCTTGCTTGTTTTGTCAGCTGCGCTCGGGACTTTCTTTCTTCCAAGAACTTGGTGGAAGCGAATCCCTCCGCTGGCCCTGGAGCCGTTATTGAGCCGAAGGTTCCGTCGGTGTTCACCTCTTCTTCGCCTTGTTCTTGGAGATTTGCGACATCACCCAAAGAACTCTTCTGTCTCAAAGTTTTTCCAACAAGTTCTTCTGCTTCTACTTGCCCTATGTCTTCAGTTTTCTTGGTTTCTTCGATTTTGAAAATTCTTTCTTGAGATTCACGAATGGCTTCAGAGAATGTCTGACTTGCTTTTCTTGTTTCAATTGATCTCTTCTGACTGAATTCATTGTTTTGCACTTCTTCCTGACTTTCAAAAGTTTTCATTTCCAACGTTTCGTTGGTTGATTCGGAAAAATCTCTTGCTGTTTTCATTTCTTCGACCCGCGTTGACCAGATTCCATCGGTTACTTCTTCTCTTCTTTCCACAAATTCGGATATTTTGAATTTTTGATCTTTTTTGGCGACGGATGATCTTCTCATGGTCACTTCAGCGTTGACGACTTCCCAAGCTTCTTCGAGAACCACGATCAACTGCTTCGCGACGTTGTCTTTGCCCACGAGTCGAACTTCTAGCTGAGAATTTTGCGTTGAAATTGAGGTATTTGCGACGTTTTCTGATGAGATTGAAAGATTTGCGACGTTTTGCGTTGCCATCGAGCTATTTGCGACGTTTTGCGTTGACTGACTGCGTACTGTTTTTGCGATGACTTGCTTGGAAAGCGAAGAGCTCGAGGAGGACTTTTGGACGACGTCGGCCGTCCTCCAGCCTTTCTCAAGCCCTTCGTTCGATTCCACACTGCCCAGTCGCAACAATTGCGTTTCTATTTGCTTAACTTGCGATGAATTGCTTTGCTCAAACTCTTGGCTTGCCGCCATGTCACCTAAAAAAAACTCTTTCATAATTCCCAAATATAATTTATCTATCTAATATGAACCATCCCACAACACTCGCAACTAATCAAGGGAGCAGCGCCAGTAATCAAAAATGATAAATATAGTTTGGTGTTGGTTAAGCTCGCCGCTAATCGCGAGGACAACTACGGAAGCAATCAGAATAGTCTCTAAGAAGAAGTAGGTGAGTAAATTGGATAGCTTTGTACAGACTAAAAGAGGGAACTCCAAATAGGTATAGATTGTGAAAAAATAAATGTGTTGGTGAGTGTCATCCGACCACCATAACCGATTGTCCTATCGCACACATTATCTCCATTTCGTCACCTAATTCAATGTATACGTTGCTGTAGCATTCTGTAAAGAAGTTAGTCAGATAGAAGTGGTCTGGGTCTGTTTCTTCTCCCTTTTAAGGTACGCTCTTTTAGTCATGGGTTAAGGGAAGTCAGCGATACTTGTTTCCCATGCGGTTAAAGAAGAAATACTCACCTTGCTCCAGCATTGTTCTTCGTGAAATCCAGTCTTCTTCGTAGCGATATTCTTCCTTCCGGCTGTACTCGTAGGCTTCGCTGCGTCTGGACTGCGACATTGCGAGCCCGAGCGTCGCTTGGGCGAAGTTGCCGTACACTTTCTTGTACAGGATGTAGATGGTGATTTCGCTCTTGGCGTCTTTTCGTCGCACTCGGAGATCTTGATTGAACGACTCATCGTTGTAAGCGGAATGCTCAGAAAGGTTCGAGAGATGGAAGGAGGCGGCACTACCTGTTTGAGGGCACCCGAAGGTGATTCGCGCGTTGCCACTAGGCGGTATTAAAGTGCGATAATTGGTGAGGTTAAAACGCTTGTTGGCCGTGCAAGTGAACAAGCGTGCGTCTAGTTCTTGGTGGCTTTTGGTGGTGGCAGAAGGCGCTACGTGAGGAGAAGAAATACTGTAAGACCCACCTGTGACAGCCTCGGCGAGGGTAGACGTCGCTCCGTCGTGCACGCCACCAGTGTTCTTTAGAAGCACGGCGCAGTTCTCAGCCACGTTTCCGTACTCGGCTATGAATGCTTCGGATGCTTGACGATGACTGTGTTTCAGAAGTTTTGACGCAGATTCTTGCTTTGAGCTGCGGTTCAACATCATCGTGGAATTGGCGATGTGAGATTCGGAAGCCCAGGATCGCAGTTCGACTTGATGTTTGTTGGCAGCGGAGAAAGTCTTAGCCAAGGACATTTCGTTGGGGTAGGAAGAAGAACGAGCAATGGTCGAGATCAAGTTGGCAGTAGCTTCAGAAGCCGCCTTTGTCCTTAGTGAGAAGCTGCGTGTTTCCTTGTCTTTCGCACGTCCTTCGGCATACTCTTGAGATGGACCTCCTATCTTCTGGAGGAAAATGACGTTCGTTGCGTGTTCCTCTGACAGTTCCTTGAAGGAGGCTTGAGTCTGAGAAACATTGGCCGTCTTAGAAGAGCCTTCGATGCCAAGAGCGTCGCCAGAGTGGAAGATGGTCGTTGCAACGGTGACATGCTCTGTTTCAGCGGCCATGGCTTCGAAAGATGTTGTGGCGGTAGTCTTTTCCTTGCGCGTGACGTCAGCTTCTGCTCTTGAAGGTTGGGAGTTTTCGAAGCCGCACAGCATCATCGCCTGCTCCTCCTTCATCTCTCGGAAACGACCAGAGGTCTTTTCAGACGCCTTTCCAGCCATGTTATTTTCGGTGGACTGCTCATTTCGGCCTTGGAGGCGTTGATTTTGTAGGCCGATTGTGAGATCGGCATAAGTTTCGCTGAGCTCGCGCCCACTGTAGTTTTCTTTCCACCTGTTGCCCTCGGGAAGAACTTTACTGATTCCTTCTGCGTCGGACGCTGGTTTCATGATAGAGCAGCCAACGGAGCAGGACTCCTTCTTCATCACAGCTCGTTTGATGTCAAAGCCAACTGGTGTATGACTGTTAACTGTCTCAAAGGTGGCTTCAAAGAGGGAGTTGGATTCTTTCTTGACAAGTTCAACCAGCGTCGGCGATCCAGTTTGCCAGGACATCTGCGACTCCTCTGATTCAGATTCGTATCGTTTTCCTGATTTTCTGAACTTTGTTTCGCCTCGTAGACTGACGCCTTCGATTTCCATTTCGTATTGGCCACCAGTAGCTTCTCTTTCAGGCGGAGGTAGCTCTTCAGAGGATTCAGAATCAATGGCTCTACCACGACGTTTGAAAACGGTTTCGCCTTTGAGCCTCTGTCCTTCTTGTTCCATCTCATACTGCCCGCCACGAGCTTCATGTTCCTCGAATCTCATGCTCGATTTCGTGATCTGCTGTTCTTGGATGCGTTCAAATGGCTGCTCGATGATTTCTACGGCATGCGCGTGGTGCTCCTCGACAGAATCAGTTGTCTCGTAGCGTTTGGTCCTTTGGAGAGTCGTCTCCTGCTCAAACCGTTTTCCTTCTTGCTCCAACTCGTAAGCCTGAGCTTTTTGCTGTCTACGGAGCTTGGTTTGCTTCAAGAGCAAAGAGATGACGTGTACTAGAGGCACAGAAATCTTGACAGTGTAGGTGGAGCTGTCTTCTTTTCGCGTCAAGTCGCAATCGGCAAAGGCGTGGGCACAGCGAGGCTCCATCCTCACCACGGTCCTATCCATGGATTCTTCGGTTTCATAACGTTTTACACGACTCAAAGCCGTTTCTCCTTGATAGTGCATGCCGTCTTGGGTCAGTCTTATTTCGGCCTTTTCTGGATCCAATGAAGAGTCTTCTCGTTGGAATTCGTCAACATAAATTCGTTCGACCTTCTGGATGGCGAGCTCTGGCGGCGTCTTATCGGCGGTTTGCTCGTAGTGTAGGCGAAGTTGCTCCTCGGCAAGGTAGTCGTCAGCTCTTTCACCGATGACGTACGTCTTCAGGATGTTGGTGACGTCTTCGACGACTTCTACTTCGACGTGAGTCACTGCCGTCACGAGTTCGCCATCTTCCTTGAGGTCCTGAAGCAGCCGCTGGCTCACTTCTGCCAGATAGTCCTTTTTGTTCTGAAAATTCGAATAATTTTATTATAAACTCAGCTTTAGCAGCCTTTTTTCTGAAAGTATTTCCCCCCAAACACAAGCATGCAAATATTGAGAACTCAGGGGAAAAAAATGAACTGACCATGAAATCTGGAACATCCAGGCTCGCCTCACGCTCCATTTTCGTTTCTCCATTTTCGATAAGTGTGATTTTGTATTTGGACTGTCCCTCCTTCATCTCCTCCAAAATGATGCTTTTCTTGCCGATCGTCGTTTTGATCTGAATATTCAGTATATTAGAAAGAATTTGTCTGAAATTCAAACTTTATAGTTGGTTACTGTGTCGCGTACAGTCCAAGCGCTTGAAACACAGCTGTCTACTGTGATCAAATCGGCGCCAACAATTTTCTCCATCTTCAGTTTTCCTTCCACAGTCGTACGCACCTGAAAGTATATCTGGGTCAGGGTTTTTAGAGTTGAACGAGGAAGAAAAAAATTTTTAAAATTTTTCTAACATTTTATTTTTATTGGTGCACTCCTAAGGCTGAAAAAAATTTCTTTTTTTAGCTTCTTTTTTTCTAGCTCCAAGCTCCAAGTTTAGTTTTTAGTTGAAAAAGTTTTACCAAGAAGATCTTCTTATTTGAGTAAATCAGTTAATTAGAAGTTTGTTGAATTAAAAATGTTCCAAGTTTATTTTGTTAATTTATATCTTTCTTTTGAAGCTTTTTTTCAGCTCCCATCCGTTTTCTTTTGGAGAAATAACTACAGAAACACATAAGAAGAAAAGTTTTTAACCCGAAAATGAAGCCGTGAATAAGAATAAGCTCAAATAACTGACCACAGGCGGCTTCTGCCGGTGCTCTTCGTATTCGATTTCTTGCTCTTTCCGCTTGATGTGGTGGATTTTCAAAGCTGACAATATCCAATAGATGGAATTGAAATAAAATGAAACTCACATCTCTCCTCATTTCGCTGCTCGGCCTGTGGAGAAAGCCGCGTTGAGCGGGATTTTCGTTCATCGTTGGCCTCCTGGTCCCAGGTGAACACGTTCGCCAGCCTCAGTTGTCCTCCGTCCTGTAAATCGATTTGTTCAAAGAAATATATGAAGAATTGTCACCTTGGTCTTAACGACTCTGTTAACGGAGCTGGTCGAGGCTGCTTTCGGAAGCTTTCCAGAAACGTCGGGCGGTGGCACCCTGAGATTTTGAGCTATAGGGGGTAAAAAACAAGTGCAGTCGAAAGTTTTCAGTGATAAACCAATCATGTTTTCAGTAGTGTTATAGCCTGTGTGCCACGATTTGAAATTTCGCGGAACGACATTCCGCTGTGTCGCTGCGCGCCTTTGCGAACCTCGGTCTCGCTTTTAATTTTTTTTTTTCTTTTATTGAGGTACTCTACTTTCATGTGCTCCCACATCAATAACAATCAATTGGAAGCGTGACCTAGATTCGAAAGGACGCCTCGCGAACGCACGCAGCGGAACAGCGGAATGTCGTTCCGTGAAATTTCAACTCGTGGCACACACACTATACCGCTGTAGGTTTTTTTAATTTTTTTGCATTTCCAACCTTCGGGTGGCGACCGGCGACATCGTGTTGGACTGCGTGGGCTCGGTGGAGAGCCGCAGAAGGTCCAAGGTCGCCTCGTCGAGTTGATTCATGGAAGACGTCGGCGCGCCACGCGAAACGGGTCCTCGATGCTGTTGTTGGGGAGCTGGAAAAAGGTCATTTCGATGACATTGGGACGGTAGGAAAAACCTCTTGGTCGGTACTGTAGATGGGCTCGTTCTGCGAAGGCCGACTCCACCGGCACGCTTTTACCGTATCCGAACTCGTCAACAAAATGGACGTTTCCGTGGCGACGCTGGCATCGATGCTGAAATAAATTCGTTTTTTGTCGTTCATCTACTGAAGTGGTCAGATGATTGATCTCGCTCAGATGTATGAGTTATTTTAAAACTTTGGTATAATTGCTGTTCTAAAATTTTTTCGCTTGAAGTTTTTAAAAGGCTTACAAGTCAGGTCATTTTACTTTGCGGTTGGAATTCCCTGACCTGTTGAATTTTTCGGTTCAATTATTCTCAGTTTAATTTTTTCAGAAACTATTCAACCTATAGGATCACGTTTTAATCTTATGATTCTCACTTTTCTAAAAAAGTTTTCGAAAATTTTTTTTCCTCTCAAACCAAGGCAATTTACAACATTCGATTCTCGCCAGTCATTTTCTAATAATCATCAGAACCAATCAATACAAGGCAGAGTTGAGATCGAATAAAAATAGATAACTGAAAAAAAGCTATGACTTACTTTCGCGGTTAGTTCCGCGTACACGCTCGATAGTTGCATAGTCGTTTTCGTCAGTTCTTGCGGTTCGATATCCCTCGTGTGAATGTGTTCGTGCCTGGAAATCTCCTCAGATTACTGTAGAGTACGGTAGAATGCCTCACTTCTCCTCTTCTTTCTCGTTCCTCGCGTTTTGTTCGTTCGCTTCTCGCGTCGATCACCTCGACGTCAGACTGATTCAGGTTGTTGCCGCTGTTGTAGCCACCAAACCAACGCTGCAAATGTTTTCGAATCTTCTTGATCCAACTATCCTTTTTTGTGAATCTCCGAGATGACAGGAAAACTCCAGGAGAATGTCAAGAGGCCGTGGAAACAAGTACAAGCACAAACAAAAGAAGCTTTTTACACTTTAACCGGATGACTCTGAGTGCTGGTTTGCATCATGAGATTTATTTTTGCGTTTCAAACTTAAAAAATTTTTTAAAGGATAGGTACTAGTCAGTTATAGCTCGACTCACCTTTGAAAAAGTGATCTTTAGAGATTTTCATCTCTTCTTTTCACAAACTATTTTTCCAATGAAAGTGAGAAGCATATATTATTAAAGTCTCAAAAATAGTTGAAAAGTTTTTTTTTTAAAAGACAGGAAAAAATCAAAAAAGATGAGTTTGAAGCGAAACCAAGAAAGTTAGAAATTAGATGAAGAGCAGAAAAGAAGAAATGGAAATGGAAATAGACATGCAAAAGATGTTTTTTTTTTCGTGAAGGAAATGTTTCAAAAATCGAAGAAACAAACCTGAAAAAATCCGCCGCCACTGCTTTGACCGCTTCGCTTCTCCATTTTGCGTTTTCGAAGACGTCGGCTCGAGTCGCTAGGCACAGGCTCAGTCGATCTCGATGTCCCCGTCCAAGGGCTGCCTCCAGCTATCTCACTGAAACTAAAGAAATATTCAGTTTTGATTCGATTCGATTGATAATTTTCAAGCATTTTTTCTGATTTCATATCCCTATCGGAGATTACAGTTGGAGCCATGAATTCTTTTTGAATTTCAGTCGTACTAAACTCAACTTTCAAGTTTATAGTCGTTTTGGGCTATTGACAGATTTTCTTCTAAAAAATTACTGGTTAACCAATCATTTGAACATAAATTTTGAAAACTCTCTGTATTTTTTCAGAACTCACGGTGGAAGCGAGGATCCACGGAGAGGCCGGAAGCCAGGCTTGCGCTTTTCCCTGCAACAAGTGGGATTGTCGCCGCCGGAGTCGATCCAAGGGAGCGGCTCGTCGGCGAACGAGACTGGCGGCGTGGCCAGAGGCCTGACGTCAGTCGCGACGTCCAACGACCGCTCCCACATCGAGTGCCGGTGCGACGACGACGAAGACTTCAGAATCGACGAGGACGCGACCAGGGACGGAAACACTGGCATTGAGTGGACCTGCGGCGCCGACGCGGAACGGCCGCCGCGCCTGCCGCCGCCACCTTTCCGGTAAACCGGCACAGGTATGTGGATGGCTCCAGGCACGGTGTACTCGTCCGAGTCGGCCTCCTCTTCGTCTCGTCTCTTGCCTTTCGCACATTTGCAGCATTTGCAGCACGTACGACAACACATGCACACCATCCACGAGACCTGCAACAAGGACAGAACACGTCGACGGACAGACACAGACATTCCACATACAGTAAGGTATTGAGTTGCGGAAATTGGTGTTTGGGTTTTCTTTTTAGAGTGAATAATTTCATGAACAAAATGTTTTTTACTTTTGGAATTTTTAGGGGGTTTTTTTTCACCATTCGAACAGTCTGATCTCTTCGCGCCTTGTTTTCCATAGTTACGGAAAATGAAAAAAATAGGATAGTTAGGCTAAAAAGAAAAGAAACAACAGGCAGGTCAGGCAGCTCTAAAAAAGTTTCGAATCAAAAAAAAAATTTTTTATTTCTATTACACAAGTGCTAAAAATTCACGAGATAGATTCAGGAAAAAAATTGATTTGATTATTTGAATATTTTTTTATACTCAGTTTAAAAATAACCCATTTTCGCATCTCAATTTTCAAAAAAAAAGAGTCCTTCACAAAAAAAAGTCCACAGACAACAGAAAAAAATATGAAGCAACATTGGTGTTGATTATTGAAAATTAACAATGCTAACAAAGCTTTAAAAAAATCAAAACGGCTATAGAAAAGAAGGTAAAGAGCGTGGTCCAACTACATTCTTTTTATGTGGTTTTCTTTTTTTCATTTTTAAAAAAAGCCCAAGCTGTCGTTTTTTTGATTATAAAAAAATAATTTTGACCCTTTTCAAGAATCATCTTCCATCTACTCTTCCTATTCAATAAGAGTTTCATTATCTCTCAATCGATGGAATATTTTCAGATAACGCAAAACACTTGCGTAGAAAAAGAACGTTGGAGAAAAATTTGAAGGGCACCGAGATTTGTAAGAGGCGGACAAGAAAAGACAAACATTGGCGAGGTTTGTGGGAAATCCTACTGAGAAAAAAAGCGTCGATTTTTTTTTTGTTTCGTAATTAAGAAGGACACCCACACTGTTCGAGATCAGTTCAAAGAATCCAATAAGAAAAAATTTTCGAGAAGGATAAGATTGTATCTGGCCATGATGAGGATCATTTGACTCCATTCTTCTCAAATTTGAGAAACTGAGAACAGAAAAAGCTGGCAAAAACTGATTGACCGCAGGCGATAAACATTCAGAGAAAGTCAGGAAAATGAAAAGAATGAGAAATAACAAAAAAAAATTTTTCTCATTTATCAAAAGTGCAAATCTTTACCAAGCAAGTTTCAAGTAGATTTTTTAACATTCATGTTGTAAATCTTTCTTTTTTTTGATCATTTTTGGTCCATCAACTTCAGCTTGAAAGCTTTCTCGTGACGTAATCTTGAAAAAAGAACTTGAGTTCTTTGGGAAGCTTATAAAAAAAAACCGAATTCGATTTTTTTCTTGAATTTTCGAAACGGAAGCTTTCTCTGATAAGAGTACAGCTAGAAGGACAAAAAAATCAAAGATTACTTCAAACTCGAAACATATTTTTTCTGAAAGTTTAAAACTCTATAAGTCAAAGGTCAAAAAAATTACATCATAGTTCTTTTTTTTGAACTCTACCTGCAAGGCGAGGACAAGAACTGGGTCTTCTTGGAAAAGTTCGACGGGACTCGGGAGCAGCGCCTCCAGAAGCCACGTCGACGCCGTCGCCGCCACCGTCAGAGTCGTCATCCTCGTCGCATCGAACTGAGGTGTCAAAGGCGGCGCGGCGGTGGGGCCGAAAGTCAACCGCGTGAAGTGGCCTGTTGTCTTGGCTTCTCGGCTTTGCTTGTTGGCGGAGCAAGGCTTCTCGTTGGAGACGTTCGAGTTTGGCTCCAGGTCAAAATAGTAGACGGTCTGAAGGTCTTCTTGAGTCTTGGCGAAAGAATCCTCATCAGAAGAGTCAGATTCTCGAAGTTCTTCAAGTTTGGAGTTGTAGATGATCTTCTGTAGATCTTCTATAGTCCTGTCTTCTTCAGAGAGAAGTTTCTTCTTGTAGAATACAGGTTTGAAGTCGTAGTAATAGACAGTCTCCTGGAGGTTTTCTTCAGTTCGCGGTTCAGAGTTGGAATCATAGAAGAAATATCTCAAATGGTCTTGTTCTTTTTGAGACCTCCAGAGAAGCGCCTTCAGTTGAGGAATATAGTCAAGTTTCGTCGAGGAAAGTTCACATTTTTCGGGATTCAGAAGAATATGAGGGTCGTAGCTGGGAACGTTGATTCGCATCGAAGTCGTTGCTACCGTCGCATTTGGTTTATCGAAGAGAAAATGTGGCTCCGAGTCAAAACTTCGAGTGGGCCCGTCGGAACATTTGGCCGAAAGAGCGTTTCGATCGAAGAGAGAATCTCTTTCATTATGTACTACACAAGGGCAAACAGCACGCGGGTCGCTTTTATCAACTCGATCGCTTTTTTACAGATTAGTTGCTGTTGAGAGAAAGTTTATAACTTGCGCTTGATGGAGAAAAAAACCTTAGAGTCGCATGACAAAATCATCAAACAGAAAATTTATGTTTTTTGAAGAATCTCTTGAGTTTTTGCAGAAGAAAATTAACTAAAATCTTTTAGATGTTAAAGTTCACTGGAGGAATTACTTAAGTAGAAATCTTCGTTTAGAAGTGAAATCGAATTCTGAAGGGAAAGGAAAGTTTCAGCTAGTTAGTTTTTTTAAAAATTAGGAAAAACGACAATGGTTTTTTTAAATTGAAATTTCCGAAGTTTAATTAGACATTAGTTATATAAAAACGCTGCTATGCAATGTACTTGCTGGTGTTTTGTATGCTATAAATTTTTTTAAAACGGTTTCTCAAACTTTCGGAAAAAACAGTTAAAAAGTTATTTTGAAAGATCTAAGATCACGGAAAAGTGTTTATTTCTACGAACAATTGAAAAAAAGAGAAATGGGTAAAGAGGAGACGGACTTTGAAAACAAGTGTAAAGTAAAATTCGCAAAAAAAAAAGTTTTTTACTTTCAGTAGTAAAAACGGTAAAACCAAATCAAAGCAATAAATGTTCCTTAGTTTTGAAAGCGTTTTAATTTTTTGAGTAATTTCCGGAATTTGAGGTCTTTAAACATATTCCCGAAAAAAGTTGATTCAGCAGATGAAGTTTAAAAATCATTTCAGAATGAAGAGAGTGATAGAGCTTGAAGAATGATGAAAATCCAAGTCGCGCATTTTAGAAAAACACTTCAACTCAGTCAAAAAGTAAATAATCCATATCAAATCGGAAATATTGAAAACAAGAGTCATGGAAAGTATCATAGGAGAGACAAAAGAGCAGCGGAGCAAGGCGGACATGAGCCCATCCGCCTCAGCTCCAGGCACTGTGAGCTCTGCACAAACACGGGCCCACACATCCGCATTTCCAGCCCGTTTCTTCTCTTGACACTCTCATTTAACACCATTTTTTCGAGTGTTTCTCATCCTTGACCACTTTTTTGATATGTCTACATGATCTGTGTACAAAATTTGAGATACTGACTGAAATTTTTGTTTTTTTTTCGGTTAAATGTTTGTTGATACGTTTTGAGATGAGAGGATTTCAAGATTCCGAGAGTGATTAAAATGTTTTCATTTTTTTTCGTTGATAAAACCTCTCCTGAGCTAAACGAAAACGCTGAAAAAAATTTAAACATGTCATTTTTATTTTCGAACTCAAAAGTTCTACTTCTTGCAAAATTTCAGTTGAGCACTTGCACACAAAATAATTTTTACAGCTCAAAGAAATTATTTAAATTTTTTCTCCTCAGGACAAATGAATTATTGAACAACAGTTTTGATCAGTATTTTCAATTTTCGTAATCTTTTGGCCATTTTCATATCGCCAGAATCATTCCTAATCTACAAATAGCAGATAAATTTGAAAAAAAGTCCTCTTGAGATTTATTGTTTCATAAAAAAATTTAAATGTTGCGAAATTCCGGATAAAGTAGATGGCTAAATTTCCAACCATATTGAACGACTGGAAAAATTTTTTTATACTTTTTTTCAAAAATATCGAAAAACATATTGCAATAATTAATGTTTCTTCATTATTTTATTTGATGAAAGACTTTCGAAACGGTGATCGAAAATTTCGTGCTTCTGCAATTTTTTTTCTAGAGTTCTTTTCCCTCCGATTTGTTCCACCTCGTACCAACATCTCTTTTTTTAGAACATTGCAGTAAAAGTTACGGTGAAAGGTGTAACAAAGAGGCAAAAGTGCGGGAAAAGGCCTCGGAGCAACTGATGGAATTCCTCGGCTGATGGATGTCCGCATGGCCATCCGCCGAACGCCGTGCACTCCGTTCTCCCGTCCGCAAAAAAGATGAACTACTTTCAGGAAAGAAGAAAGAAAGTTGAGTATTTAGAAGGTCTAAAAGAGCCAAAAACTAGATGTTACTTGTAAGGCGAATCCTGAGAAGGTGTTGAGAAAGTAACCAGCAGGAGAGGGGATAGGAAGGTGAATGGAAGCTAGAAGGTCTTGAAATGGTCTTGGGAAGGTGTTCAGAATATTCACTTGAGTGCTTTACATAACTCTTTAGTGATTTTTTTTTTGAGTTTGACGGAAAACCCCGATTCTAATCGATGAAGTAAGAGTAATTTGTTGTGCCCCAAACATTAAAAAAAAAAAGGGAAAAAACATTTTTTTAAATGATGGTTTTATTTTCCCCGATCCAAGTTGATTATCTGTTCCATTTTTGAGTTAGTTTTGAAGAAATGTAAAACTGTGGAAAGAAGATTTTGTTTTAGTCGCTCTTTCTAGGAAAAATATCGAAACTTAAGGTTAAAAACTAAATTAACTGTTGGCTATTTTACGAGCTGAACATTTAATCCGGTATTTTATTTGTTTCGAAACTTTCTGATCAAAATAACTATGAGAAACAAATTCTTTTATGTCTATTCTAGTCATCCATCACTTTCAAATCATCTGATTTCAAAACTTTGCACATCCCGATCAATCAATATCTTCGGCTCAGTCCTCGGAATGCAAGTAGGAAATTTTTCGAAGCAGAAAATTGAGATGAGAAATATTAGAGAAACAGCTGTCGGATGAAGCCGACGGGAAGAAAACACCGCGATGAAAAATCTCAGCGACGACGGCTCTCAGCGAAAAATCGTAAAATTGTTGGGGTCTGCATGGAAAGTTGTTGATTGGAATTAAATGAAATTACTTTACTGAGAAAAATATATATATTTCAAAAAGAAAGGTATTCCTACTCGGATATATGCAAAGCGGATATTTCTAAGCCATTTTATACTTACTAAACGTCCGCAAGGATTTGAACTTTCCAGTTGCGACAAAAAGAACTAAATTTTGGAAAACGGAGTAAAAAAAATAGGGAGAAGGCCGGAAAAAACAGATTCATCGAAAGCTTTAAAATATTTCTTTAATTTAAAAAAAGACACGGATGACTCATTCGATTTATAGAAGTATTACACGGCCTTTAAACTGTCATATCACAAATTTAAAACACAAAGACAGAAAAAAATGTTCTCGAATTTCAATCAATAATCTAAAAAGTGTCAGCAATTTAATAATTACTCAATATCAACGAACCTTGGATCAGAAAACGCAAGAATAAAGTAGGGAGAAGCTGCGGAGCGACGGATAAAAGAAAGTTTTCGAGCGGTTGACGACAAGGCGAACAATTTTTTTTCCTTCTTGTCTCTCCAGAGCCTCTCGAACGGTCGGAACATTGCAAAAAGAGGCAACTAACACTTCAGAAAACGTTCATTTTCCGGGTATTCCATGTTTTTTTTTAGGCAAAAAGCAGATGAAAATGATCTGCTTGAAGGGTGTTCAAGTGATGATTTTTTGATAGGTGAAAGCTTTGACAAGTGTTTTGGAAATCAAGAAACTGAATCGAAGCTTTTTTTTTTAGGATACTGAACTCGAAAATGGAGTGATAAGATAGGTAAAATTCTTCAACTTCAAGTTCAGTTTTAATTTTTTTTTTTAATAACTTTTTTAAAGGTCAATCAAGGCTGTATTTGGATAAATTTTGAATTATTTCCTTTGTAGATCATAAAGAGCGATAAAATTGCTTTGAAAAAATATCACAATTCAAACTTATCAAAAAAAAAATTACAGTTAACTGAGAGAAAATAATAATCAAAAAACTACTTAATTAACACCAAAAATACCGTTTTTTCTACTTGAAAAACCGCACGCGGAATGACTCGAAGCCTTTCGTATAGTCTGTGTGCCACGACTCGAAATTTCACAGAACGACATTCCGCAGTTCCGCTGCGTGCGTTCGCGAAGCGTCTTTCGAATCTAGGTCACGCTTTCAAATGAGTGTTATTGCTGTGGGAGTACATGAAAGTAGAGTACCTCAAAAAAAGAGAAAAAAAAAATTAAAATTACGACCAAGGTTCGCAAAGGCTCGCACCGGCACAGCGGAATGTCGTTTGGGGAAATTCCAAGGGGTGGAAATTTTTAATACAAAAAGTGCACTTTATGCATCTGATTCAAGTACAAGCTTCCCAAAGCACTAACTAACTCTAACTAAAAAAAAATAAAAGTATGAACTAGTGATGAGTTTCAGGACAAAAAAAATAATAGTGGAACGACTTGTCGCGATATGAAGAGAAACGCTGGGAAACACGTGCAAGTCGCCACATTATGCAGAGAAACGAACACGTGTTCGCAAGAAGTTTTCGTGAAGTTATAATAACTGAGATCTTCCAAGAATTTTTCAGCATGAAACTGAGAAAAATAACAAATTCATCAAAAAAAAAAGCTTTGAAATGGTCGTTTCTATTCTGCACATTCTGTTGGATAATGCTCAACCTTAGGAGGCGCCATATATTCACAGCAAATTTTTTGGAATATATTGTAAGGTCATTTTATTTGAAATTTACTTAGATAGAACCTTTGGAATAATGAAGTCATCGTGATGATTGAGGCTGGTAATATACTGAAAAACTTTCTAAGAGCAAGTTCAGATAGAGTTTGGAAGAAACAGCCGCTGTAAGAAGGAACAAACGCGCTCTGTGGACTACATTTCGTGAAAAAAAGGATTATGTTGGTAAATAAGTTCAGAACAACAAAGAACAGAACAAGTTCTCATAAAAACGAAAAAGCATTTTTAGCATTTTTGTCTACTTTATAAATAGACGAAAATTGCTTTCAAAAAATCAGTGAAAAAAAAATTTCATTGCAGAAGAGAGCTTTCGGGATTTTTAATTTTTCGAAATTAATTGTTAAGCTTGAAATTTCTAGAGATGTTTCAACATAAAGTAACATCAAAATTCATATAGGTTTCAAAAAACATGAAAATAAAACGTTGGGTCAAGAAACTCAAAGCTGAAGTTTTATTGATCTCTTTTGATACAGATCCTCAACTTCACCAAAAAAATATGAAAACAAAAAAAAACAAAGCATGTAAAATACAAGATTATGCAAGATATTTCGACTGGCTCTGTAAAAAACCTTCAACTTCCAGCTCACCAAAACAAAAACAAAATTTACAAAACAAGTAGAATACAAGAACAAGGAAGAGATGATAGGGTAGGTGATAAGGGGAACCAGAAATCAGCGGAGGTAGGCGAGAGCTGGTGCGAAGGAGTTGTACAGAGGCGGCGCCGAGGGCGCGGCTGTCGGTCCCTCGGCTGCCGGGGCCTCGAAATCCTTGCAACAATCAATCGGCCCTGATAGAACTCGGTGTTACAGCCAGCTTGTCCTATTTCTGGGGTCGTTCTGACTTTGGCAAAGAGTTTTGAGTGGAAAATCGGTTTTTGAGAAAAAATTGGCTCTCAGCTTATCTTTTTTTAGGAAAACCTTGAAAAGGTGAACAGAGACTTTGAAGTATTGATATTTGACGACGTTTGAAATAAATTCAATTGTAAGCTTCCCTGAGAAAAGAAAACGAATCCTTCAGAACACTATTATTTTATTTCAAAATGCTTCTGAAGGTCTGCAGAATTCGAAAGGCAGTTTTTTAAAATAGGTTTTGATGACGTTACGCATTTTTATTTTTATTTTTTAGGGGAAGGTCAAATCTTGATTATTTTGGAAGTAATGTAGCTCTAGAGCACTCAGTGCTAGTAAAAACCAGCTTTTTCTTCTTTTTTCACTGCTCCACAGGGCTTACCTACGTTAAAAACTTTTTCATGGTCCACTTGAAACATTTTTGAAGCATTAACAAGATTTTTTTCATTTTTCAAGAGCCTGAAGTCAACACCAGGGAAGCTCTCCTAAGCTTTGAAGTTTTTTGCAAAAAATTAAATCATCCTGAATCTCTGGAAATCAAGCAAAACTTGTTCGCTCCAAAGGATCAATGTTCTCTAAAAATTCAAGACAGTCGATAGCTTTTTTTCATCAAAGGAAAACATAAAAATTTCGAGAACCGTAATTTTTGGATCGATTATTGCCAGA